GAGGCAAGTCAACTCACAGCCATGTCTGTTCACTCAGAGTCCTGTCACTTCCTGTCTGTGGCACCCAGACCCTCAAGGACTGTTCATCAGTATCCCAGACTGGCATCCAGCGTGGAGGACCCACCATTGGTGGCTGCACGCACAGCCGGTATCCCCAAACCCACTCACTCTAGCCCTCCTGTTCCTGAACCTATTCCCCCGTCTGTATTGCTTCCCATAATGGGGATCGCTTTATGGAGTGTATGGGCTGCATACACCACCACTGAGACTCTTGAAATAGCGGCGCCTACTATGATGTTTCCAGAGGTGGCGGCTGATGCTGCAGAACCTCCCGAGGTGGCGGCGCTCGCTTCAACTCCTTGTACAGTGGTGGCGCCCAGCAAGGCACTCACAGCCTGTCATGTCGTAGTCGAAGGAACCGTTAATGAATTCTCCCTATTTTCTGATGGTGCTACTGTAGAACCTCCAGAGGTGCTGGCATTCGCTGCAGAACCTCCAGAGGTGTCAGTGGTATCCACTTATGAACTCTCTACCCACCCTGTCACGGCTATGGAGGCCGTCTGTGAATTCTCGTCCAGCCCTGTCACGGCTATGGAGGCCGTCTGTGAACCCTCTGCCCATCCTGTCATGGCTATGGAGGCCGTCTGTGAACTCTTTGCCTGTTCTGTTCCGGCCAGGGAAGCCGTCTGTGAACTCTCTACCTGTTTTGTTCCGGCCAAGGAGGTCGTCTGTGAACTCTTTGAACTGAGTATTGTTTAGCGCTTATCATTTGATAGCTACTCTACGGAGCCTGTTAGTTTACCCAGCCTTAGCTTAGTCTGCCTCGTCTGTTTTCTCGTATCCTGATCTTTGCCTGTGTACCTCAGATTCTCCCTCTCGCCTTGCCCTATTCAGATTCTGTTTGCCCCTGCCTGGACATTTGCATTGTTCTTGGATTTACCCCTCTAGTCTCGCCTTGTTAATTTTGTTCGCCGATCGTAGACCCACGCTAGCCCTAGGTATATTCTTGTGTCTTGCCCTCTATATACCCGTTGCCATTATCTGACCCTTGCCTGTCTCTAACCATGTCTATGAATAAAGCCTTGCATTTGGATCCGCACGTCTCATGTCTCGTCAGCCCCGTAACACTTAAAGACAAACCATGTGCAAATTCATCAGTCAACACCACTGCTTCGCATTTTTCACTTAAAACTGCAGTGTAGGCCTACCAAAGTCTCAAAAATTGTGGTTTGAAATAGCCCCATCTTCACAAACATGTAACTAATCCTATCAACTTGCAGCAAAGTGTTTCTACCAAAGGATGTTGATTTTTAGAAGGTAACTGTCTGAGATGGTGAACAGGAACATGGTTTGTGTAACATTAACAACACATTATTAGCTGTTCGATAAGGTAGTCAAGCCAAAGAAGTCCAACAGAGCATTACATAAAGAAACATTTTGAAAAAAACATTTAAGTAGGTCATCAAGGTTATCAAAGATGAGTTTTAAGGGATCAAATTAGTAACTGCAGGGGGACTTTAAAGATAATTTTAAATGACACAAAGGTGATGTAAATGGGAAAATGAGCATGAACAATTAAATGCTCTATATCGACCGATGCAAACCCTAATATCAATACCTCATGCAATTGCTCATTCATTTAAAAAATATTTATTTCTATCAAATAATTATATTAGAGTGTGATTACAGCATCAAGTGTTGTATCTGTTAATAAGACTACATCTGAAAAACAGGTCTTAGCTTTGAACATTTTGAGCAATCAAGCTGTGAAGGGCTGACAGAGATGTAGCTCTGCACTCACCGAAGTGTTAATAACAAGGTCTATTAAAAATTCATTTCACAGCCATGAGGTTATTACCTCATGCCTGAACTGGTTGACAACATTGCTCTGAGCTCATCATTAACACCTCTTGCCAGCTGCCTTTGTGTCTGAAATTACTGGACGGAATCACTTTTATAGAGACATCTAAACATTTGAATTTTGGTGATTTACTGGTTGCCGACCGCATAATCTCCTCCAAATCACATGGATATGTTGATTCATGTAATTTTCAGAGCATTTTTTAAATTAGCAATTATATGAAATGAAATATTGGGGTATGTTATATTAAAAAGGCCATTTCAATACACTTCAAAACATGAAACTTTCAAAAACAGCAAGACAAAGAGGGTGTGTTCACATTAGCAATGAGTCTGAGCAGAAGGTGCAGCTACCAAACCTCATCTGCATAAAACAGGTTGTTTAGTCATTAGTGAGGATTTCCACCATTTAAAAAACTTTTCTGAACCTTCTGGATAGATTTTATACCACTGTAATTGTTAATAAAGCAGGAAGGTTTTTTTGTAATTAACTTCTGCAATGTTGACAGTGAAAATAGTGATTTTGCACCTATGTGTACAGTAATGTTACTGTTATTCATACCATAAATACAATATCATTAATTTTTTTTAAAGGAATTAAATTTAAAAGTTATAAACTGATGTTTTATGAAAAAAAGGGTGTTAATTTATTCACATGGTACTATCAGTTAATATAAACAGTTAATGTAAACAGAATCTTGACTAACAATAGCCTGATCATTTAGACTCAGAAATGCAATGTTTATCTGTTGTGTTAAACAAAAGAGCTGCCAGATGTTTCTGTAGCCCAGCTAGTACCACACATGCTAATGTTTAGACACAGTAGACCAGCAAGATGTTATTGTCCACGTGATACACAAAACATGTTGATTTCCAGAAATGACCCTTTAGATAATGAAAGCCAGATGCTGCAATTGCGCAAAAAGAGAGGAATGACGACTCACATCGGGAAGAAAATTACAATCCTTTTTCCAGCAGACAAGACTGGTGCTCAGTTGGGTGGTCTGCAGCTCTCTGCATCCTTCTCTCCTCCTCCTTCTGCGCTCTCCTTTCATCAGCCTGCAGACAGAAAGAGGACTTACAATGACATCAGCATTGATAGCAAGCCCTGTCATATAAATATTCACCTTCCCTGTCAGATTATTTGGTTTATACAGGGTAGCTGATTGAAGCAATATTCCAGAGGCTGTCTGAGGACAAAGGGAGGATGGAGACGAAGGGTGGGGGCACGTAGGGAGTGGTGATTAAGATAAATGAGATGAACAGAGCTCAGAGCATGAAGGTAACATTGAGTAGCTGTTCCTCAGCATGCTTAAAGAATGCCTGGGGCTCTGGGAGCTAAATATGGATCCATATAAATTTAATAACGCAGTTTTTATCCGTGATAGACCCATGGAAATTGCTCAGCTTGAGAACTACGCTTTCGTGTGTGTTTATATATACAGGTGCATCTCAATAAATTAGAATGTCATGGAAAAGTTCATTTATTTCAGTAATTCAACTCAAATTATGAAACTTGTGTATTAAATAAATTCAGTGCACACAGACTGAAGTAGTTTAAGTCTTTGGTTCTTTTAATTGTGAGGATTCTGGCTCACATTTAACAAAAACCCACCAATTCACTATCTCAACAAATTAGAATATGGTGACATGCCAATCAGCTAATCGACTCAAAACACCTGCAACAGTTTCCTGAGCCTTCAAAATTGTCTCTCAGTTTGGTTCACTAGGCTACACAATCATGGGGAAGACTGCTGATCTGACAGTTGTCCAGAAGACAATCATTGACACCCTTCACAAGGAGGGTAAGCCACAAACATTCATTGCCAAAGAAGCTGGCTGTTCACAGAGTGCTGTATCCAAGTATGTTAACAGAAAGTTGAGTGGAAGGAAAAAGTGTGGAAGAAAAAGATGCACAACCAACCGAGAGAACCACAGCCTTATGAGGATTGTCAAGCAAAATCGATTCAAGAATTTGAGTGAACTTCACAAGGAATGGACTGAGGCTGGGGTCAAGGCATCAAGAGCCACCACACACAGACGAGTCAAGGAATTTGGCTACAGTTGTCGTATTCCTCTTGTTAAGCCACTCCTGAACCACAAACAACGTCAGAGGCGTCTTACCTGGGCTAAGGAAAAGAAGAACTGGACTGTTGCCCAGTGGTCCAAAGTCCTCTTTTCAGATGAGAGCAAGTTTTGTATTTCATTTGGAAACCAAGGTCCTAGAGTCTGGAGGAAGGGTGGAGAAGCTCATAGCCCAAGTTGCTTGAAGTCCAGTGTTAAGTTTCCACAGTCTGTGATGATTTGGGGTGCAATGTCATCTGCTGGTGTTGGTCCATTGTGTTTTTTGAAAACCAACGTCACTGCACCCGTTTACCAAGAAATTTTGGAGCACTTCATGCTTATATATATATATATATATATATATATATAAACGTTGTAATAGCAAATAAGTAATTTTAGGTAGGTAGATAGATAGTATGCAGAGAATAAGAGGCATTAAGAAACAGACAAAATAAATTAAAAAAAGCTGAAGAGTTGAGCTATGTATTTTTAGATTTAGTTGTTATTGTTGACTAAAACTAATCAAAACTTTTCGTTAATTGAAATTAGGATAAATATATAAATAAACAAATATAAAAAATAAATATATATTGCCTTGGCAACTAAATGACACAAAATAAGTTTAAGCACTAAAATGACTAAAGCTGAAATAAAAATAAAGTTAAATAAAAATATAAAATAAACTAACAAAATAAGCTAATTATAAATATTATTAAATATTATAGTATATAAATAAACAAGAATAACACTGGGTAAACTGTCAATGTCCAGTGCAATTTATTACAACATTTAAAAAAATGTATTTTAAAGAAATTATTTAAAATAATCAGATAAAAAAAAGAACAGAGACAATTAGAATGCTAGTTAAATAACTATTTCCATTTCAGTGTGAGCATGGGTTTAGGCTTTGCAAAACAGATCTGAAGTTTATAAATGGATCAAACTAGTTATGAGTGTAATCCCATCACAGCCATTGCTCATCGATCAGGAAGACAATTCTGGGAACAACAATATTGTCATTTGTCATTGTATATATCAACTAATAAAAGAAAAGAAAAAGACACTGTGGAGAAAGAACAGGCTTTATTTTTCCATTTGTCAAATCAAACAGATCTTAACATTTAAATCGCTTAAGTTAAAAAGACATTACATCAGAAGTTACCTATAGGAATTTTAAGTTCCTGCAACAAAATATGTAACAGACTATGTAGTCCTATACACAACTCAGCAATTCTGCACAATTCTGACCTGCTCATGAGAAAAGATGACATTTCTTAAATAAAAACTGTTACATTTTATTATGTACAAAGAATACATTTGAAAAGACATACTTAAACTAGTATAACAGCATTCTATTAACATTTTGTAACACATCTGATACGCCTCATTGCACGTTCCCTTAGTGAAATGTAGTTTAGTTAAGTTAGTTTCATTTGGGGCTGTGGTGCTGCATCATTAAAACATTGGAACATATACATGATGCAGCTTTTAACAGACAGCACATCAAGCATTTGAGTAAGTAGTTATGTTTTTGCCAGTCTGAGGAAATAAGAGAACATTTTGAGGACCATTTAATACTGAACAAATATAGTAGCTTGCGCAACCCTGCGTCAGAGTTGGGGCATTAAAGATTCACTTCCTTTGATTGGGACAGAGCATGGAGCTATTCCAAAACAGAGGATTGTAAAGTGCATTAAAACAAAATGTAATATTTAATGGCAGAAGAAAAGAAAAAAGCATCCTGAGCTTATAATATTAAATATGATCTTATATTGTATGATGATAGTCACAATTTCAGTAGCATTTGAGTAAACCGTCCTAGATTAAAGAAAACTTTTATCATCAACATGAAAAGGGAAAGTCACCTATGACATCACAGCCTGTTGCTACTTAAGATGAATCAGAAATCGGAAATAGTTTTCATAAATCACGGAGGTATAGGAAGTGAGCTGGAACGTAAACAGAACTCACTTTGATGTGAAATAGTGAAACAGTTTAATCCTTCACCACCATTATGATTCATTGCAAAAAACTCAAAGTGTCAACATGCTTGATTTCATAGTGATATAATGGATTTGGGTGGCAGGGAAAGCTTCTTTGAACATGCAGGTACTACGTTCAAGTCTTGTTTTGCCTAGGTAGACGTCAGCAAAGAGCTCTTACAAAGATTTGAATGTGTCCTGCGTGATGCATTATGTATTTACCTCTGCACTACTGAGAAAGGCTTACATCACCGCCCTTAGTCCCACTGACGACAGCAACAAGCATATCACCAGCACGCATGAATGAAGCTTGTTCATGAATGTTAAATATGTTTTATGTGCGTGTCTGATAACGGATTTACTCACTTAATAAATAAGACCCTTTTCTACACTAGGGGAGCTCTGTTAGAGTTAGCAGATCCACAGAAAAGCTCACAAAGTGCTTGTGAGACAGAAATGTAAGCGCAGTGTGTAACGGTCATCCACACATGGGTCTTCATTACCTACAGCAAAGAAACAAAGAAAACATATCAATAACAACTGAAGGTTTATCATATTTAAAATAATATGATTATTTTATTATTGGGAACTTTTCTGTCCCCTAGGATGATTTTACAGGAAAAAAGTAACATTATTTATATTTTTTCCTGTCAAAATCATCCTTGGGGACATTTTTTTTTTAAACTCACGTAAAAATTTGTATTAAACAAAATCATAATTTTAAAGTAGTATATAAAATAGTATATAACTAGTAGTATATGTCAGGAGTTTTTCTAAGTCAAAGACAGTGGGCCTCCCTTTTGACACAATGTTAATTTTAGATTTTTCACACTATGATGATCTGAGAGAGTCATTAAAGGTGCTGTATGTAATTTTTTGGTCTGTAGCAAAGCATAAGAACACCATAATGCATTCGCAGATATTTAGGAAGCATGCTAAGTTCACATAATCGTTTCTCCGAAAAACAATGCTAAAGCCAGTTATTCTACTTTGAAAATGTGCATGCCTGTTTTTGTTTTGGTCTGTGGTGTCTGAGGAGGAGAGGTGGGAGAAACAATATTTTGAATTTGCACTGCAGTACCCCTTTAAACCGCTAGCTGTCAATATTATTATTGTTATATACAATATTGTGCCAAAAATCTTGGTGTTCTTTTTGATTGTAGCCTGAGTTTTGAAAAGCAAATTAGTGCATGATTAAATCAAGTATTTTTCCACTTACGGCGTTCTAAATTCAAATCTCTACTCTCTTTAAAACAGTTTGAACAGATTATTCACTTGTTTATTTTATCTAGCCTAGACTACTATAATTCCATATATTATGGTATAAGTCAGTCCTCTGTAATGTGCCTACAGCTGGTTCAGAATGCTGCTGCAAGGATGTTGACAGGCAGACGGAGGTTCGATCACATCACTCCCATACTTATTTCGTTAAACTGGCTACCAATCAAATTTAGAATTGTTTTTAAAATTGTAACGTTTGTTTTTAAATCTCTACACAACCAAGCACCATCATATCTTTCAGAAGCAATCTTCATTCACAAACCAAATCGGTCCCTAAAATCTAGTAATCTTGGTCTCCTCTCTGTTCCTAGAACGAGGTTCCACTGCAGACGTGATCGAGACTTCGCTGTTGCTGGTCCTAGTCTATGGAACAAACTACCAATTTCTGTTAGAACTGCGTCCTCTTTACCAATTTTTAAGTCCCTGCTTAAAAAACATCTATTGTCAATACCTTTTATCTAGTTATATAATTGTGTTTGTGTTTTCTTGTGCTCCCTTATATTGTTTTCAAATTTCTCTGATTCTAGTTGTATTGTACAGCACTTTGGATCAACCGTGAGTTGTGATGAAAGTGCTTTATAAATACAGAAGAGAAAAGAAAGAAATATTACATACTGCACCTTTAAGTTTTGTTATTTTTTTAGTTCAAGTTAACGTCAAGTCCATAGCTTACTCAACACATTTTTCAAAATGTGAATTAAGTCATTATAATCATGTTACCATCTCTCACACACACACACACACACACACACTATCAAAAAATACATTACACATTATACCAAAATCCACCTGAAAGTTAATCAAGATCTTTATCAGATCTAGTGACAAATGTTTTAAATGAAGACGAAACAAAGTTGAAGATCTTTAATTTTTCAGGATTTCAAGTAGTAGAAGTGCCCCTATAATTGAAGAATCACTGTAACTCTCTTATGACACACACACACACACACATACATACATACACAAGGGTGATGTATTTCTTTAGTGATGAATCAGCCAGTCTGCACCATACGCTGATGAAACATGTCTAGTATTAATGGTTCTAGAACTTTTCTCAGACCTAACTTCACTTTCTCAGACTAGAGCATTGTTTCCCAACCTTTCTTTAGTCGTGGCACCCTTTGGAAATTTTAACAAACTTGTGGCACCCTACAAAATTAATTGTCACAATATTTTAATTTCTAACTTCGATATGATCATTTGAAAAGTATAGATATTCGGTACAACAGGGAAGCACTGCAGAATATAATGTCATACAGATATTTTTAATATTATTAAAAAAATTTGTCCATCAATGGGGATAATCAGTAGGCTAATTTCTAATGAAGAGACCAATTTATATGACAGATTTTCATGTAGGCTTTTACACATATGTAAACATTATTTAATTACCATTATAACTAGCTATCTCACAAATTTTTGCTCACTCAGTGTTTTTTTTTTTCAATTTTACTGGGGGGTAATTTTGGTGCAGTAGCACGAGATAGCTTGATTACAAACTTTGAATTGAATAAAAAAATGACAAGTAAGCAGTCAGTAATAAAATAAGAACAAATAAAGAAATTACTAATGATAGCACAAATAAAAAAAAATAATGACAGGCCTTCGAATTAAATAAATTGCTTTTAGTTTTTCAGGTAGGTCTAACAGTAGGGTTAAGATATTTCACCTTTTTTTTTTACACCAATTATCCAAATAATGTTTAGTCCTAGAAAGCTATTATTATCAGAACACGTGAGCATAACATAGCGGTTAGCAGATCAATGAATGAGAGGGCAGCGTTACCAGAGTTGTCGATATACCAAAACATTTTACAACACAGTAGGGCTATTGCAGACAGAAACAATACTGTACTACATCGATGTTTCCTGTCGGCTCAATTTTTGAGTGGACTTTGCTGTTCCGATTCGCATGAACGGTATACGAGTGGAGCGACTGAACGGAGCACACTCACGCATAGAGTGGGATAATACGCAGAGCGTCACACCACGTGAAAGTGAATCCTGAGCGGTGAACTCATTTTCGGCAGCCGGAATTTTGGTGTATCTCTAATTATTGGCGACATCAGAAATAGATATTATATAATAGATGCTCTTTTGAAAATTTTTGCAATTTAAAAACAATTTTTTTTTGTTTTTTTTTTTACACTGCACCCCTGCTCTCGACAGACGGCACCCCGGTTGGGAAACACTGGACTAGAGGATGTATAAAGGGTTCCCCTCAAGTTCACACAGGTAAACCAGAAGAGTAGACACTGCTTCAGCTACACACACACACGTTCTGTAACATTTGAAAACCAAAAAGTGGCTAAATTAATAAGTGGCTGAAATTATTTTGTTTGAAAAGAATGTTTGTGCTATTTGTTTCAAATAAATTATCCTTTATTTTATAGAATGCGAAGAAATTCACTACCGTTCATTCAAATAATTCTAATATGCTGATTTAGGGATCAAGAAACATTTATTGTCATTATCAATGTTGAAAACAGTTGTGCTGCCTAATATTTTTGTGGAAACAATTATCAAGATTCTTTGATGAAAGTTAAAAAGAAAACAAATGATTTAAAATGGAAATAATTTGTAACATTATAAACGTCTTTACTGTCACTTTTGGCAAATTTAATACAAGTATATACAGTATATATATGACATAATTTGCGGAATTCTTAAAAAAAAAAATTGTTACTTTCCCTAAACTTTTGGACAGCAGTACACATACACGTGTGGCTTAGTGTTTAAATACTTTTTTGTGGTTACTCTGTGTCTTACCCTTTCAGAGGGCTCTGGTCTCTGCCTCTATCTTCCTTTCACCATGTGTGTCATTGTCTGGGGGGCTGATGGTTTGGCGCACTGCAATCTCTGGCCCACCGCCATAAATACTTAACAAGTACTGCCACGTTTCTTCAGATATCTGCCCATAGTCTGCGCCTGCAAACCAAGCCATAGATAATGAAGAATATACAAACACACATATGCGAGTCAGACAAGGTTTTGAAACACAAGATGAGTCACAGACATGTTAGTTTGACGCATACACACACAGTCCATACCTTGTTTAAGCTGGATATGTCCGCCTTTCATTACTGCAATCTTACTGTTGTCAATGGGGCCTGGTGGCTCTAAACCAGCAGAGAGAGAGAGAGAGAGAGAGAGAGAGAGAGAGAGGAGAAACAGAGATTAAAAAGTCCTGACCTTTAGGTCCTGACCAAAGTATGACCTTTACAGTGCATAAGCATATATTTTCTTGAAAATACAGAGGGTGGTCTTGGCAGAGCTAGAAGTCTCGCCATTGGTTGAGTCGATGTTGCCATGTCAGGCTGGTCAAAACACTCAAACAAACAGAGCAATGTTTTAAATGTGTTTCAGAGTCACAGTGTTTACAATTTTTGGGGAGTACTATTACATCAGAAAAATGTACCTAAATGTGACATGGACTTTTGCAATGCTTTTTACACAAAGCCTTAAAGGGTCAGTTCACCAAAAAATGAAAACACTATCATCATTTACTCATTCTTCAGTAATTTTTCTTTTCTCAATGGAACACATGTTAAATATATCAATAAGATATTTTGAAAAAATGTTGCAGGGATTTTTGGCCAAATAGTGAAAGTCAATGGAATATTTTATTCAAAATATCTTTGTGTAAAGAAAAAAGAAAGAAAGTCATACAGGTTTGGAATGACATGAGGCTGAGTAAAGCCCGGTTCAGATGACACAATTATTTTGTTGGTTAGGACAGTCACTGTGCCAGATCACACAATTTTGACTCCTAAAATCTTGTCGTATCATGAACAAGAAACATGTCAGACTACACGTTTCTACCCGAACATTCTTCATTTGCCGTCTTTAACGATGTGCGTGCTTGTCATTGATAGTGCGGGACTAGACAGATGGTGACATGAGTGTAAACAAACAATGGCTAGCAAACAGCGTGTTCTGTCCTGTCTTGTCGTCAGAAAAGCCCAAAAAGAAAGAAAACCTAACAGGGACTCAAATCTGGATTGCATGAAGAGGACTCTCAAAGAGAACTGAGGTAAAATAGTTTTTAACTGGCCTTTTCCACTCTGTCGCGGTAATCCCTCGAGAAAACATCATAAATGCAGGAGTATTGTAGCCATAGCTCCACGAACATTTCCTCCATTGTGAAAATTACACCTAGCAGGACCGATACCGTTGTCTCTCTTTCGTTTCGGCATGTTTGAAAGCATGTACGAAGGCACTTCTCTGCTCCTATTGGTCTGTGTCTGTGACGGAACTCGTCGTGGACGACAGGAAAAAAATTAAACATGCTAGACTTTCTGTGTTGATGTCGTGAAGCATCGCAGACATGGCATTGGTTGTCGTGCACTATGACACACTACACGAGACGAAACGATTGAATCTTGCATCCCGACAGCCATCGTCATATACGAATCCCCACGACACCCTACGTCAAGCAAATCATGCCAAAATCGTGTAGTCTGAACGGGGCTTAACTGATGACAGAATTTTTATTTTCAGGTAACCTATGAAGTCAGCATTTATTGGAGATTGTGATTGACTGTTCCTCCCTATTATGACATAAAATGCGAGTGAAGGGCATCTCAAACAAGACCAAAAAAATTAGTGTGGGACTTTTGTCTATTGGGAACTGATTGGATTGTTGATCATTTCATGTGAGTGACAAGTTGTTGGAGGAAAGGGATTGCAACACATCTGGCCATTGGACAAACTAATTACCCAGCCCTCACACTCACACATCATCAGAGATGAGACGTCATTGTAAGGGGGAGGGGATAATAATGCTTTTGATTAAAGTTTGTAAGGGCACACAAATAACAAAATGTGCAAGGATAAATTATTTGTAATAAATACTGCAATTTTCCATTAAAGGAGACATATTATGCCCCTTTTTACAATATGTAATATACGTCTCTGGTGTCCCCAGAATGTGTCCGTGAAGTTTCAGCTCAAAATACTCCACAGATAATTTATTATAACATTAAAATGCCTATTTTGAGTGGAAGCAGAAACACGCCGTTTTGCAGGCCTATCTCTTTAAATGCAAATGAGCTACTGCTCCCCATCCCTTTTCCAGAATAGAGCTGCGCCATTACAGCTCGGACCTACTAAAAAAAAAACATCTGTTTTGGTTCTGATTATCATGTTTATCACACTGAAATCATGCTTTTTAAACCATATGAGTTTAAACTTCTGATATACGGTTTTCTGAGTGCACACATTTGAAGCACACGGACAGAAAGCGGCTGTCACAGCATGTGAGTACTAAACTAAGTTCTCATTCACACACAAGTTTACGTTAAAAACACACATGAGCTACAAAAACAGTCGGTTATGTCTGTGAAGGTAAACAGCTGGGAAATAAATTGCATGTTTATTTTAGATCTAAATAGTGTTCTGTGCTCATCTGTGCAGACAAAGGCAGAACAGTTAGCATGTTTTGCTCAAACTTTCGCCATGGCATTAGAGCTGGTACACCGTTGTCGCTTGCGAAATGAAAGTGGTGGTAATATTATAATGAGATCCCTTTGCAACGTCACCAAGGGAGCGAAATCAGACGCGCTCGTTTTCTCAGACGCTTTCAGAAAAAGGCTTACCAAAACAAAGTTACTGGGTTAATCTTTTTCACGTTTCCTTGGTTGGTAGATGCTTCGGGGACCTGATTATAGCACTTAAAAACTTTGATTTTTACATTCAACGTTACATATACGTCAATTGTTCAAATACAAATAGAACACGTCACAATGGTCGCACAATATATGCAGACACTTACATACCTCCCGCAGGCCAGTGAACTAAATGCCACAGATTAAATTTTTTATTTTGCTGCATATTCTCTCCGATAAAAAACATAAACAGTATTAGGGCTGATTACAGATTACAGAACCAGCTTTACTGACGAGATGCGCATTAAATATCGTGCGATATTTATCGTGCAGCCCTCAACAGTATCATATATTTGTTGAGATATGCATTACTCTGTTTGTATGAGACTGTACCATTGTCTTTGCCCTTGACAAAGTTCTCCCATTCTCTAAACCACTGCATGCTGATACACAGGATGACTGTAGGCGCTTCTTCAGCTTGAAACTCCTTGTTTAACTGTAGACGGAGAGAGAAAGAGAAACAGAGAGCGAAATATGAGGATTATCAAACGCTCTCTAACCAATCTGAGCATTTCAGCATTTTACCATATTGTATTATACAGCAATTATGTTTTATTTCATTCTGAGGTGCCCCTTGCAAACCTGCTGAGTTTCAAACATGACCTTCAGATTTTTCCAAAGCTTTAAAACATGTCTGATTCAAAGCTAGTGATGGATCTCACAGATGCTGTACTTCTGGTAAGATTGCAGTGCAGATTGCACCCTTGATCTGTCCAGCATGCAGTCTGTGTTTCATCAGTTCTCTGGCTTTTACGAGCACCAAACACTTCCAAGAACATCATGCTCCTTCCAAGAGGAATTTCCACACCATGTTACATAAAAATGCTGCAGATCTGAGGACATAACCTAGAGGAACAATTTTCAAGTACGCTTCCTCCCAGTCTTATGGTGGTGGGTAGCATCTCATTCTATACTTTTAAGTGGGCTACAAAAGTCGGCAACACTCAAGCAGGCACTAATTTGTCTGTACTTGGATGTCACTTGAAGTAATATGTCCACCTTGATGAAGGTGTCTATCTCCAGTTTCCGGCGTTTGGCTAAAGTCTCGATCTCTACTTGGCAGATGGCACACACGTATAAGTGATTCACAGCCGGGCCTCCCCCAAACCTGTGAAAAATGTTTCAAAACATGAAGAAACTTTCAAAGTATGGCCAGTGAAAAGAGCAAACACATAACTCAACAATGTTTACATTGCACTGCTGGTGGAGTGCCTTACACATGACATCAGATGTCTTGAACCGACAGAACTCCATAGTTCAGGGTTGGACTGAGGTTTTGTCGACTTCACCAGATCAAAAGCTCAAAAGTCATCCCATATTCCACTAAGCTGGTAAACGTCCTGAGGACTTTCTAAACGTCAGAAATGTGCATTGCTATGCATGACTCACCTGTTGTAGAGATATTCCCACACATTTTGGGGAAGGATCACAACCAGATCGTCCACATAATGGTACTTAGTAGGAGGGATTCCTGTATAAAATCACACCTGAGTCAAGTTTTTACTGCTTATAGTAAGTGAAAAAGTTTAAGTAAAAGATAAAATAATATGATTCATTATTTAATTATTTTGCACCAAATGGTGGAGTTTACTGTGTCACTTAATACAATCTCAGTGGTTATTTATTTCAAAAGAAGGGCCCTCGGAAGTTTTTTAAAATACTTACATTTAGTTATATTAACATAACCTTAATTAAAATACTGAAAATGAAGATGTATAACATTAAACTGACATCATATTTTTGAGTTTATTTGTTTTTATTACAGCAGAAGTACCAGAGGTATATTTTAGCTTCAGATAGGATGGCCTTTGAATACTGTCTCAGAAGAAGCCTTCGAGTCAAAAAGGTTGAGAACCACTGCTCTATGTGAAAAACTGTCTCACATAAAAACATTTACACACTAAATTTGGTGGCTTAATATAATTAATAGTTCACATATGAGTCATCACATGGAGCTCTAGAGGAGGGGAAAAAAAAAAAAAACTTCAAGGATCCGAGATAAACTTCAGATGGTAAATTTTCCACTGAGGGGAAAAAAAGCTGCAAGAAGATGTGACAGGCTAAAATCTTTACATGCAGACAGAGAAGACGAAACACAAACATTTACAGTAGAAGACTGTTTGTCTCTTTAAAAAAAAAAACCGGATGCCAACCTATCGTTCTTGCAATTTAAACCATCCATTATGCTGCAGTTTACATCAAAGTCATCAACCACATACTGTAGCCAGTAAATCCATTAAAGGGGTCATATGATGCGATTTCAATTTTTCCTTTCTCTTTGAAGTGTTACAAGCTCTTGGTGCATAAAGAAGATTTGTAAAGTTGCAAAGACTAAAGTCTCAAATCCAAAGAGATATTCTTTATAAAAGTTAAGCGTCAACCACGCCTACCTAAAACGGCTTGTTCTAACACGCCCCCACATGTCTATGTCACTATGTGGGAAGATTTGCATAATGCCGGCCAAATATTCACGCAAAGAAAGAAAGGCGTAACTTTTATTCTTGCTGTAGTATTGTTGCCGCCGCCGCCATGTCGTGAAGGCGCTGTGTGTTTCGTTGTGAAAGCGAAACTACTTTGTTTGGTCTTCCAAAAGCGGATGATATCCGCTTCGTCATGCCTAGAGCTGATCCGTGCTGGTCGCTGAGGAAATACATCAACTTCGTGCTGTGGATCGCCGGATTTTACACGGCGCGATGCAACGCAATGTGAAAAAAGACTGTATAAGTCATTATAATCCGTAATTATGTCCCCACTGGATGCAACAAATGCCTTGTTTATAATGGGTTTTAATGTTTTTGTCTCTTCACTATGGCCGGGACACGCCATCACAGTATGGTAAGGGGCGTAACATTTCCGTCACACGCTTGAGGTATGCGGCCAATCACAACGCACTGGATAGCTGGCCAATCAGAGCCCACCTCGCTTTTCAGACCGATGAGCTTTGTAAAAATCGATGTGTTTCAGAAAGGCGGGGCATAGAGGAGAAACAATAATGTACAGTATGTGGAAAATGTGTTTTTTAACCTTAAACCACATAAACACATTTCATTACACCAAATAATGTTCTTTTTAGCAACATCATATGACCCCTTTAACTTACTCACTAAAGTCAATTTGTTCTCGCATTCAGCGCTTCATACTGAACACAATGAAAAATGTGTGATTGTCATTATAGTGGCAAAGTTAATTAATATTTCAGTTATTTACCTAAATTCATTTGAAATGGACCAGTGTGGAGGAGTTTTAGATATACATGAGAGTATTTGTGTGTGATTGTACCTCCATGTTGACAGAGGAAATTTTGGTTGGTGATGGGTCCGGGCTCAGTGAATGTGTTGAACTTGTTGAGCCATTCTCTGGATATGTAGAACTGCAGTAAACTGGGCTCCTTTAAATTAGCCAGAGCGACAACCTTCTGTCTCTCTCTCACAGATTCGTCACTGCTCTTCCTGAAAGAGAAATTGACAAAATCCCCATCATAAGAATAATATCAATATAATAGACATTCTTGTTGGAATCAATCCCAATGAGTTTCTGTGTTTTGCTGGTGGTTTGTTATGATGCACAGGTAGTCATGTCATGCTTCCATGAAGGGGCAACCCACTTCATGTTGAATAAAAAAAGTTTTTTATTAGGCTACTGATATAACTGATATCTTTGTTCATGTGAGTGTACATCGTTTTACTCATACTTTTCAAAATAACTATTCATTTCATTATGGGTAAAACAGTTTAAAGGTGTGACAGATCTTTTCTTCTGTATTATGATGTATATCTGAGTGCATGTAGGGTGGAACTTAATTCCATCTATTGATTGTTGATTGGACTGAGGCACATCTGATTGAAAGCTTGGGATTGTAAGAAAAGGGGCAGGGTTTAATCAGACTAAATGACCGGGAAGAATGATGGGAAAAATTAGTTTTAACATCTTCATCATAAAAGCATGAATTACCATTTCACCATAACTTTAATAAGGAAAAACATTACTGAGTGCACTATTAAAGGGGTTATGAACTGCCTTTGTTTTTTATTTTGTACTGTTCTCTGAGGTCCACTTATAATTTTATCAAGAGTTTTACATCAAAATACATCATAATTTAGAAGCAATAGGCCATTTTCTGTCGTGTTTTGACACCCCCCCCCCCCCCCCCCCCCCCCCATTCTGTCCTAATTCCCTTACATATTAATGGTGGAGTTCCCTTTGAAATCTTAAATGATTCCCTTTGAGCTAAATTATTGACCTGTTTCCCTTACACTAACATTGGGAAAGACTGAGTTTTTCCACAGCTTGGCACTACACAGCATCTTGTTGTCTTCGGAGCCATCTTTATCTTTTGGTTTCTGCATAGACCTGTGTTTGCCTCTCGTTATACACTACATATGTGAATCGGTGGGCGGGGCTAAACAGACAGTGATGTAGAAGTGGGCATTGATCCTCTTCTGCGGAGACGGAGTTTAGCCACACTATTACATCATAGAGCGGCACATTCCACAATGTCGTTTTGGCAGACTGGCTTCAATATAAGCAGGGGGTTTTTTACGCAATATAAGCAGTTCTGAAACTTTCAGGATGTTTTTATAGTACAGTGACCTCTTATATGTCAAAACATCAATGATATTTTGATTTCTCAGTTCATGACCCCTGTAACAACCATTACAAAGTCAAAAAATTAAGTGTACCTGTAGAAGAGAACATACGCTTCAGCGTTCTGCACTACCGTCTCATGAACTTCTGTTACATACTGATCGTCAAATTCGTACCACTGTCCATTGATCACATTCTGACAGTACGCAATGTAGTGACCACCTGTCCAACAGGGGGGAAAAACACAATTTCACTCAATTAAAACTATACACAAAATAATGTCTTAATTGTCATCTGGGAAAAGCGATAGTGATTAATAAATGCAAGTTCACATTTCAAAATCTCAAAGCTCCTAATTTCGCAATATTACACAGAAGTAACTTACTCCCAGCAGTGCCGTGATGACAGATGACAGACAGTAGGTCATAGGTAGTAATCTGAGATGGGCTCTCCTTAGCCAAGAAGGGCTTAAGAGCCAAACCCTCCAATGGGAATGACACATGGCTATTTATCTTGAACGAGTACATGACTTCATGCCTGAAACGCTTCAGGTGAATGCACAATATCTGAAAAGGACATTACACGCAAACTCAACAGGAATACAAATTCTGTTGAAAAGTAAATGTAGCAATCCAGTAAATGAGCAGATTGAAATGGAGGGGGTTACTTACTTCTGGCAAACGCAGAACTTTACAATATTTCACACCATTTCTCAATCTGGGAAACAGGTAGATTAAATGAGCTTGTTTCATCATTTAAACATTTAAACCTAACAGCTACAGTATGATTTTGGCTGTAAAACCCTAAATACGATTTAGATTAGACTACAAAGTATTTAAACAGCATAGTAACCACTACATTATTACATCTTGATCACACACATTTCAGTCATTTTTTTCCACCAAGAAATCTTACTTTTTACATCGTTCACAGCTGTACATGTTGTCTCCTGTTTGGTGGAAAGAAAATAAATATCAACCAAGGGTTGACAAGCAGTACAACAATGTTGAAAAGGCAATATAAGTTTTCCCCCTCTTATCTCATTCATAATTGCAATTGCACATTCAGAAATGAGAAACATGATGTCCTAACCTTTCAGCTCATCAGCAGCAAAGAAGGCTGCCAGGCAGTCCTCCAGCGTTACCATTGGGCCCCAAAACCAACTCGGAATACAGGACACAACAAACCTGCATAAACACGTACGTTTACATTAAAAGATCAGTGCTTGTTTTCATGGCAATTACATTCTTACATTCAGCTTTTTCACATTACTGTTCAAAAGTGACAGTAAAGACTAAAGTAAAAAAAGTTATTTTAAAGGGGTCATATAATGCGATTTCAATTTTTCCTTTCTCTTTGGAGTGTTACAAGCTCTTGGTGCATAAAGAAGATCTGTAAAGTTGCAAAGACTAAAGTCTCAAATCCAAAGAGATATTCTTTATAAAAGTTCAGAGTCAGCCACGCCTACCTAAAACGCCTCGTTCTAACACGCCCCCACATATGTACCTCACTATGTGGAAAGATTTGCATAACGCCACCCAAATGTTCACGCAAAGAAAGAAGGTGTAACTTTTATTCTCGCTGTAGTATTGTTGCTGCCGCCATGTCCAGCCCGGGGCAACATGTGGTTGCCGCTCATTCATCGCATCCGCCGGGCGCACCGTTCTCGACCCCGCCGCCTCAGCTCACTCTATCCCGGCCTCAGCGCACGCTAAGGTGCCCTCTAGAGACAGAAAAACTCATTGCATCCTTTCCTCACCCGGTCACATGTCAAACACTGAACAAGACTCAGAATGGATCCATCAAAGATATCTGAAATAACACTGCGGAAACGGGACTGCTTCTTCTTCTTGGTGCTCAGGAGCATCTGAGCTAAAGGACAAACAATCATGACGTTTATTTAGTGCAAAGCAAAATACAAATAAAAACTAGTTTTTTTTTTTTTTTTACAACTATGCTGTATTTATTTGTATTTATATGAGAGAAGCAAACCTCTCTTGAATGTATAAGTGGGTCCAGTTCTGAGGGGGCTGGATCTAGGTGGGCTGCTGGAGAGTCTGGAGTGGAGTTCTTGCACACTGCGAGTGGGGCTACAGGGACGAGAGGACGGACAATGCATGGAAGCTTCATTATCAGGTTCTGCAAGAAAAGTGGGATCAGGAAGTGAGAAGGTTCATATATATTTTTTAAGAATTATATTCATATTCAAAAACTACTAAACATACACTACCGTTCAAAAGTTTGGAGTGAGTAAGATTAACACTTTCATGCAGCAAAGATGGACAAAAAAAGGTTATTACATTATTAAATTTCTATTTTAAATAATAGCTGTTCTTTTCATTAAAGAATCCTAAAAAAAAAAAAAAAAAAAAGGATAATGGTTTCCACAAAAATATTAAACAGCACAACTGAAGGCATTTTTCATTTCTGAAGGATCATGTGATTGTGACACTAAAGACTGGAGTAACAGCAGCTGAAAATGCAGCTTCTCCATCACATGAATATATATTTTTTTATTTAAATAGAAAACAGCTATTTTAAATTGTAATAATATTTCATAATATTACTGTTTTTACTGTATTTTTCAGAATTGGAGAATTTTTTCAAAAAAACACACACACACACATAAAAAAATCTTGGAGACCCCAAACTTTATGATTATAAGAACCTCATACCTGTATTTCCTGGTGCCGGCACAGTTGTGGTTACAGTTGTTGCCTCTGTTTCTCTCTCTGCCTGTCCCTCTTGTGCAGCCGTGTCCACATCTGCATCCTCATCCATTTCCCGTGTCTTCTCTTCTCCTCTTCTCTCCTTCAGCCTCTCTTTCTCTGAGATTCCTCCATTTCCTCTCACTCCCACACATTCGTCTTGGATGAGCAGCTCTGCTTCTCCTCCTGCCCTCTCTCCATCTCCTCTCTCGCTTCCTGATCCAGAGTCACACGACAGGAACTCATCCTCAGAGGGGCTTCGGTCTCCATCGACATGATTACGGTTGTCGAGGTTGTGGTCAGGCAGGACATCTGAGATTGCACCGCTGCAGTCGTTCAAAGGCTCCTTCAGCTCTTCATGAAGTTGGTCCATCAGACATCGCAAAAACTCCTGAGTGTCCTAAAAAAGACGGCAAGGAAGCAAGGAGTGTGTACATAGTCTTTACAAAAATACTATGGGGCTTATATGATAATATTACAGTCTTGAAATGCTGCATTGTAATCTTCATATCAGTGTTGTTATTGTTAACTAAATCTAAACCAATTAAAAATTGCTTTTGTCATTTGAAATAAAGCTGAAATAAAACATAAATGTTAGACAAAAAAACATCTATAACAAACTGTTTATAACAAAATCTTATGTTTATGTCAAAGTAAAATTATTAAAACTCAAATTTAAATATTAAAAAACAAAAACTATTAAAAATGACAAAAGCACCTAACAAGATTACTAAAACTTATATGTAAAATTAAAAACTATTTTAAAATATGAATAATTACTATAATAGTATATAAATAATACTAAAATAACTCATATACCTGTTGAGCATAGCCACGAAACATGGGATTCACCAGTTTGATTCCATGAAACAGACTAGTGGGCACAACATAACTTGGCCTTGACAGAGCCAAAAAGAAACCAACAGAAAACAATAAGATGCATATAATTAGTACCAAGTTCAATATATTAAAGCCACAATTGAAGTCCATCATATGGAGAAAAATCCTGGAATGTTTTCCTCAAAAACCTTAATTTCTTTGCGACTGAAAACAGAAAGACATGAATATCTTGGATGACATGGGGGTGAGTAAATTATCAGGAAACTTTTATTCTGGAAGTGAACTACTCCTTTAAGGCCGGGACACACCAAGCCGACGGTCAGCCGTTGGCCAATGTCGGGCCAACAGCAAGCGACGGTCGGCCTAGTTTGTTGGGTGTGTTCCACTCGTCGGGCTCACGTCGGCGGCAGTTTAGTCGCCGCTAGTTCTTTGAAGTCGGCTTGGTGTGTCCCGACCTTTAAGATTAAGTTTGCTAGTTTTCCAGGTCTAGGTTAACGGTTTGGCAAGTCAGTGCTTGTTACCGTTTCTTGTGCCAGAGCTCAGAGATAAGCTTCTGATAGCTTTTACACAACGCCGGCTTCTTATCCGTACGGACCAACCCACTGCAATCCAGGAAAAACTGAGTCAAAGAAGGACTTGAGAGAAAAAGACAAAGAAACAGGAAAACCAATATCAATTTCAGAAGCAGGATGCACAGACCTAAAAAATAAATCAGTGGAATCAGTCACGCTTCCAATTTGTGTTGTCTGAATTATGCTTATTTATGCTTCACAAGTTGTGAGCTCACCAATTGGACAGGGCCTGCAGTGCAGCATTCATGTAACAGGAGTTCCCAATGTTCTTCATCCCTGTGAGACCTGAGAAAATGTAGAGTATTAAGCAGAATAAAGAGTATAATGAGAAATGCCAACACTCGCCTACAACTTTGGAGTGTGGAACAGAATCTTAGTCATTACGCATAACTAATGTCAATAAGATCCAATTTAATTCGGCTTACATACTTCCATTACGCCTTCTCATATTAAGAAAACAGAAAAAGTAATTGACTGGTTATTCATTCATATAGACATTATTCAATCCACTCCTTTAAAATGTTGTACAAGCAGGACATGATAGCCATCTGTTAGTAAATATACAAGTTACTGAAAAGGTCATTTAAAAAATCCATACTGACTGACAACTACTGTGAATATTTGGGGTCAGTTAATTTTTTTTAAGAAATCAATACTTCTACTCAGCAAGGATGCATAAATGCTGTTCTTCTGAACTTTATATTCATCAAAAACATCCTGAGAAAGTATCATGGTTTCCACAAAATTTTTCAACATTGACAATAGTAAGAAATGTTTCTTAAGAGCCAAATCTGTTTCTTGAGTTTCAAATGTTTCTTGAACACCAAATCAGAAAATTCAGCTTTGCCATCACAGAAATAAACTGCATTTTACAATATATTAAAACAGAAAATGGTCATTTGGATTGTAATAATATTTCAAAATATTGCTGTTTTTACTTAAATTTGTTTTTCAATCAAATAAATGCAGTCTTGGTGAGCACAAGAGACTTCTTTTGAAATCTTAATATTTTGAACGGTAGTGTATGTTTCCCTCTCAATGTCTAGGTGGGTGTCATAGCTATTTTGAGGATTTGAAATGCCATGCAATGTGTACTAGCTTCCTGTTAACAAAATTATACCTCTAGGTTTGAGCTCATCCTCCTCAGATTCTGAGCCTTCCTCATCTGCCACTGCGATAGGCACTGCTTTTAACGGGTAACATGTTGTCTGGGGAAGAGGATCCTTTGGGGATGAAAAACAATAGAATGAACTATCTTTCTTGTATCATTCATGTACTTTATTAATTATTGTGCCTAAATGAGATCTTCAGACTGGTATTAATAATGCAGGAGACACAGCCAACCTCAAACAAGAAGTACCATATATTAATCATGTTTACACAATCTTAAAAAGCTAAAAGTGCACATTTCTGTGAGGTGTTTCAAACAGTCCAGGGGCGCGGGAAGATGTTTTTGGTTGGGGGTGCTGTGTGTGTCCGTGTTGGGTGAAAGGGAGGGGGGGTGGTGGTTCACTTACGTCGGTGCTCGTTCTGGGGCTGGTGTTGTTTGGATGCCGATTTTGGAAAGTTTTTGCTGGGATGACCATTTAAAAAAAATCTGAAATTTGCTTTTGCGCCATTATCTCCTTGTATTAAAGTTAATCTTGTTCGCATTCTGTACAGTTCATGTCTGATACCACTCGCCAGCATCACGTGTTCATGAGGATTAGGCTAATCATCCCATATAGAAAACATCACAAGTAAAATGAATCATGTTTATAAAGATAAACATGGGTTTATTATAGCCCACTTACAATTTACATTTCAGAGATCATTACAAATAAATTATTAAATACTAAAACTGAATCAATTTAAATGAACAAACTTGGCGTTGCATTTGCAACCATGTGAAAACAGGGGGTGGTACACCCCTACTTCTCGCGTCCCTGAAACAGTCTGATGACTTTACCTGTTCATGTGGTTTGCAGCAGTGAGCTAACGATACAGGAATAACAGGCTTTGGTTCCAGAAACACCTCCCTCTCACATACATAACACCACACCCTGAATGTGGTCAAGTTTACTGTCAGATTGTGTTTTTTGGCCTGGAAAAAAAATTAAAAAAGATGCACACATGTATAAAAGAATAAGAGAAACTGATATGCATAATAACTGAGCAGAACGAATGCCAGAGAATGGACTGAATACTGAATGAATAAGAATGTCACCTGTGCATGTATAGTACTGTGATCAGAATATGATTCTCCGCAGCCTACATAAGGACAGTCACACTGTGGGGAAAGCAGGACAAAGAGAGTAATGATTATGAATGTAAATGTTCTGGGCCTAAAAATGCATTCTACTTATCTAACATGTTTGCTAGGGAAAAGGCTCCCCACCTGTAGACATGCCCAGAGGTTGGGTCCACCAACTCCACATGACTGACATGTGCCCTTGAGTAAATACAATGTGATCAAATTCAACACACAGCACTCATAACACATTTAAGACTTATATACCGGGTATTAGCAACAGCGATTCTAACCGTTGATTTCTGAATCAGTTCCTCCTTAGTAACTTCACCAATAGAGTCCAAGTGAGGACAAAGATCCCCATTGTCAGTCATCTTGATTTTCACCTCACTCTATTACAATACACAAAGAAACTACTACTAGTACAGCTCTACACAGCATCAATACAATAAACACTGGAAAAAAATGCTGGTTTAAAAATCCTATGACTTTCTTATTTCCGTGGTGAACAAAAATAAATATTAACTCAGTCACCACCATTCACTTTCATTCTATGCGAAAAATAATCTTTTTTTTTTTATAACTCGTCCTTTAAGTATAACCTTCTAACGTACTTACAGACTCAGTATCAGCGTAAAGCAGGAAAAATTGCCATCATTGAATGCATTATTTAAAAATATAATAATAATAATAATAATAAATGAAAGAAGAAGAAAGAATAAAACTAAGGGTGATATATCTAGATGTGAGTAGCTGTGAGTCCGTGCCTGAAACTCTCAGGAGCCCAAAAATGCTGTTTCATGCGCCTAACACGACTGAGAAGGATGCATTCACCCAATTTCACCTCGTCTATTGTTACAATGAAGAAATGCACAATAATGCATCATAAAGATGTATTCATTTGTTTTTTCCATACGAAAAGTAGCTCTAACAGAAATCCTAAAAGAAAGGGGAAAACAATTATATTATGAATTGGACTCACTATTCCTCTGAATTGAAAAACAATATCTCAAAACGAAACAATCAGTCTTTCTGCATCTCCGGTGTTTTTCTTGTTTATCATCACACAACAGTTCCTCTACATGTCATCGTCAACCACCCAAAAGCTGGGGTTTTCAAGATGCCATATTTCCACTCGGGCTGCAAGACACTATTCAGACGCTGAGTCGACATGGTGGTATCTTAGCAAATAAATAGTGACACTCCGCTTCAGCCGAAGGAAAGATAAGAACAAACATTTACCTGTCACACAGAAACAAAAATAACGCTCATAGATGATCATTTTAGGCCAATCGGTGGTATTTGTAACAGTGGTGGGTAGCAGTGTACTAAACAGCACGCATACTGAATACAGCATGAGTGTGCGTCACAGCTTTGACCAGAGCCAATGGCTGCTTTCAGCTTTTTTCATCTGATCAAAAACGATTTTTAATTCACTTAAACTAATACAGTTTACATGCTATTTGTTTTAGGAGTTGTTGTTTTTAATTGTTTTGTTATTATTTTTACTTCGGTTTTTTTTTCATTGTCATAGCAGTAGCTGATCTTGAACCAGCCTCTTCATTCCCAATTAGTCGCTTTGCACCGTTAAACGTTCGTATGGAAAAAAGACGAGCTGATCTCAGATCAGCTGTTAATGCCGAGATTGTGACGTCAGCGGAAGTTTCGGGAAATGTGAGGAAAGCGGTCCGTCGCTGAACATTAAACAATTCGGCGTTTTTTTAAATCATGCCCCCAGGTAAAAATTTTAGGAGGAGGAAGGAGGATTCATCTGACGAGGAAGATGCTGAGACAAAAGCCGTGGTCAGGTAGATATGTTTATCAAATTAAGGCCAAATAGAGTAACTGAACATGACTGTAGAAAAAATATTTATGTAAGGTTTAAGTGTCAAATTCATTCAGAAGCCACATGCAGACGCCTGTTCATGTGTGAGAATATATTTAAAAATGTTAAATGTAAACATGTTTTCTAAGGTCCAAACTGGATGAAGCCAAGGAGCTTCAAAGTTTACGAAAAAGGCAGCATGGAGTAAGGTTGGTAACACGTCTATTTGCAATGCTATTTATTTTTGTACCAATATGACAGTCTTACACGTTTGCACAAGTCTTATTTTTTTGCATTGTTTAATTTCCAAGTTTTAATTAACTATTTAAAATAATTTGTCCATTCAATTATGTTTGATTAAAAGTCGAAATAATATATGCTGCTTTCCATTGTGTTCCTCCAGCATTGCAACGTTACTTGTAGGAGAGAAGCTTCCTTTGGAGTCTGAGCTTGAGGCAGGTTTTTTGTTGTTGTTGTTGTTTTTTTTAACGCAAACTACATTTTGTATTACAATGAAGGTCTTGCACTGTTACAGTAAATGTATGATTTAATGGGTACAATATTGCCACTCCGTTGTGTGCATTAGGATGACCCATTTAAACTGAAGACTGGAGGTGTTGTTGACATGAAGAAAGTGAAAGATAGAAATCGAGACATGTTAGTGGTATTATGGAGTCATGTTTGCTGTTCATTTAAAGTTGATGTTTCTGTATTTTATAAGTGAAATAATTAACATTTTCTCTCCACTACAGGACAGCAGATGAAAATGACCTGAATCTCGGTACCTCTTTTTCTGCTGAGACTAACAGACGAGATGAAGATGCAGACATGTAAGTGCATATGTGTACGCGCAAACCATCTGTATTCTTTGTCTTTCTACATGATGGTTTTGTTTTTGTTTGCCTCCATTCTTTATATTATTTCTCTCTCTCTCTCCTTATATGCTATTTCATTCAGGATGAAGTACATTGAGACCGAATTAAAGAAAAAGAAAGGGATGGTGGAGGCGGAAGAGCAGAAAGTGAAGGTGAAGAATCCAGAGGACCTCCTGTACGAGCTTCCAGAGAGCATCCGTGTCAATTCTGCCAAAAAGACAGAGGAGATGTTGTCCAATCAAATGCTGAGTGGAATTCCAGAGGTGGATCTGGGGATAGAGTAAGTAAAGACCAGAACTAATTCAAAGACATTTTCCTTTGATCACATCTGAGAATTTTCTCTAGTCCACCTAGCTATGGATGTCAGCATCAAAACCTTTTTTTCTACTTTCTTATCAGTGCAAAGATAAAGAACATCATCAGCACAGAAGAAGCCAAAGCAAAGCTGCTTGCTGAGCAGAGGAATAAAAAGAAGGACAGCAGGACCTCCTTTGTTCCCACTAACATTGCAGTAAATTACGTCCAGCATAATCGCTGTAAGTGCACACAAATATCTGACCAACCAGCTTTTTGTATTTTAAGGTCATGTGCTTAGTGCTCGTACATCGATACGCTTGTCTTCACACAATTATTTATTTTCTTATCTTTCTAAAGAATCAGTAACCTCTATGTATTTTATATTCAGAAGTAGTATTTGTTTTTCATCAAGGTTATCATTTACATCTGCATTTAATCCAAACATTTTATGAGTTACAGCTCTATCTCTGCATAACCTTTAGGTTTGGAGATTACTAACCAAGGATTATTCATATTCAGTTGCTTACTCATTACAAGTGAAATGATTTCAATATTTGAAATATTTGCTATCCTTCCCTAAAGGACAACGATTAAGTCATTTTCTGTATTTGTTCCTTCAAGTCTATCATGAGGATGTAAACGCTCCCCAGAGACGGCACAGAGAAGAACCCAAAGCCAGGCCACTACGAGTAGGAGACACTGAGAACCCTGCGCCTGAGGGTAAGATCATAACAATATCATGTTTTGCTTAAATAACACATAGATCTGCATTTGTTGGATTTATATTGTGTTTTGTGTTTACATCTCTTCTCGTTCTCCAGCTTCACCACCCAATTACCGCAAGAGGCCTAATAATGAGAAGGCCACAGATGACTACCACTATGAGAAATTCAAGAAGATGAACCGACGATACTAATCCTCCACCTTTGCTACAGTCCCCTGAATGGACCATTTTTTTCTGTAAAATGAGAAATGTAAATATTTTTTACTGTATTTAAAAATGTCTTCATAGCTTGCATATAGTCATAAACATCTTACAAGAAATCTTCCCCCAAAACATTGGTTATCTTTGCAAACTTTATAAAGCAGAAGAACATGTTGGTTTCATTTTAATGTACCGTGCAGCATGTTAATGCATTATAACGTGTTTCAGTTTCCTTGGCTGAAAATTAGTCTTTGGTCTCGCTTAACATTCAACAATAACAATACAATTAACATATCACATCAAATAAATACTTAATACATTTATCCCTCCTAAAAACAATGCAGTCCTACCCTTTGTTCAAGAGACTTATTGCACTTGGCACAAACGTTTGTTTATATATTGCTTTAGTTGCCTTCAGTGTCCTATAACGGCGCCCAGATGGTAACAGTTCAAAGGCATAGTTCAGAGGGTGTGTTATATCTCCACTTAGGGCCAAAGCTTTCCTCCTAACTGCTATATCATACAGCTGATCAATTGACTTTATATTAATCAAACTTCATTGTTTTAGTAAAGGCTATTTTTTATTCTACAGACTTTGCTAATGAAATAAAAATAATATTATAACCTCTATTAGAGTTACAATGTTACCTTCCCTTAAGTTTTCGCTTGGATGTCTTTTACCAATATAAAATGGTAAGGTTGTGCTAAGGTAGCACAGCAATAAAATAGGCTGTTCGGAAAGTATCCAGCCATGTAAAATGAAAAATACGAGATGAGAGATGTAATATGATGAAAACGGCCATAGCTATGGGCAACCGGTGATTGGCAATTCCATCATGACAATGTGCCCACCTGTGCGTCACATCTCGTGTAGTTTTTTGGCGAAACATCAGATCACCCAGGTGACTCGGCCCCCTACAGCACAGATTTAGCACCTTGTGACTTTTCCCAAAACTAAAATCACCTTTGAAGGGGACTAAGGCATCATTGTCCTGTGTACAATGTTTCTTGTATCTTCTTCGATAAATGTGACCCTGGACCACAAAACCAATCATAAGGATACATTTTTTTCAAAGCTGAATAAATAAGCTTTCCATTGATGTATGGTTTGTTATGATGGGACAATATTTGGCCGAGATACAACTATTTGAAAATCTGGAATCTTGAGGGTGCAAAAAAAAAAATCTAAATATTGAGAAAATCTCCTTTAAAGTTGTTCAAAAGAAGTTCTTAGCAATGCATAATACTAATCAAAAATTACGTTTTGATATATTTACAGTAGGAAATTTACAAAATATCTTTATGGAACATGATCGTTACTTAATGTCCTAATGATTTTTGGCATAAAAGAAAAATCAATAATTTTGACCCATACAATGTATTTTCGCCTATTGCTGCAAATATACCCCAGCGACTTAAGACTGGTTTTGTGCTCCAGGGTCACAAATGTCTTATTTGGCCGAGATACAACTATTTGAAAATCTGGAATCTTGAGGGTGCAAAAAAAAATATCTAAATATTGAGAAAATCTCCTTTAAAGTTGTCCAAAAGAAGTTCTTAGCAATGCATATTACTAATCAAAAATTACGTTTTGATATATTTACAGTAGGAAATTTACAAAATATCTTTATGGAACATGATCGTTACTTAATGTCCTAATGATTTTTGGCATAAAAGAAAAATCAATAATTTTGACCCATACAATGTATTTTCGCCTATTGCTGCAAATATACCCCAGCGACTTAAGACTGGTTTTGTGCTCCAGGGTCACAAATGTCTATTTTACATGTATCACAAGTATCTGACTGGATGTGTGTGTGTGTGTGTGTGTGTATATATATATATATATATATATATAAAGACAAAAATAGAACACTTCCTTGGCAGTCACATTTTGAAAAAGTGAAGAGCATTACAGTGCACATATACTATGTAACACAATAAAATGTCAGTGTAACAGCTAAATTTACTCCGAAATGTATGCAGCATGTTTACAGAGAGGTTTTCTTTTAGCATCCAAAACACCACTTGCCTAAACAAGTTGTAGTTTTTTGAAGAACAATAATGAAAATAAAGTGTAGCATAGTTGTAATATCACTCAGAGACATTAAACTTAGTTGTATACAGATAGAAAGGCAAACACTTCATTATACCAATGTAGCATGTTACCCAACTACAGTAGTTCTCAGCATTAATTCAGTGTCATATTTGCAGGACAAAATCACATTATCAATTCAAGTAATTGTTTAGATTTGCAGTCTGCAGCTGGTGGTTTAAGATGGGGCTTATTATGATGGTAAATTGCTTAGCTGTGTAATCTAACTGGACTATGAAGGAAGCCACCAGTATTTCATGACTGCTCACTAGTGCTGCTGCCGTGGCTGTTGAGGTGACGCTGCATGGACTCCTGCGACCCCAAGTTGTCTGAATCCTCTGGGTTGGCACGTGAGGGGTCAGAGGTCATCTCAGGGGACCCCCAACTGTCCTGCCGATGAAAGGCCTCACAAAGTGGCAACTCAACACCATCCCACTGTCCACAGCTAGAAACGTTATACACACACACACACACGTTACACACAAACTAACATTTCTTCTGTCCACTTCTGCCTAAAACACCCAAAAAGCCATTAGGAGTATGAATGAATGACGTTGCACATTCATTCACTCATTACAGAAACAAACTCACACAACATATGAATGAACAGGGAAAGAAAGCACAAGCAAGGAAAGAAGCTGTGAAAAGCATTATTTCAGGATTGCTACTGACATGAATGGAACCGTGTGGTCACGTGGCATTATTCTTCTGTTTGCTGTCTGTCTTTGCACTGAACAGATGTGTGTAGTCTCTAATAATATAATTGCTCAACAGATGAAAAGCAAAAGGCTGTAAGCAGCAGAGAATTTAGATTATGCACTCAGCAGAGGCAGAAAATAAAAATTCCAAATCAGAGGTGAGCAAATAATAGATCAGACACTAAATGTGCTCTAGTTTCTCTCGGGTTTATTTATGAAATTTGAAATCAGTTGATTTGTGAAAAAACTGACAAATATTCTTACACGTTTTCAACAGGTACTAATGTGACCAACACTGTGTCTGCTAAATATGTCACCACAAAGAAACAAAGCGTAGTGCAATTTCCAACCACTGAGAAAATCAAAAACTCCAAAAATGATCAATATTAAATTTTGAACATGACACATATGGCCTCTGAAAGCTAAAATATTTTCCCAGTTTTCACAAACTTCAATTAGTTTAAGAGAAAAAAAAATCACTGCATTTATGAATAAACAGTGAAAATCTCAGTTTCATCTTTACATATTTCTTCCAGTAAGCTAATTAATGATTCTTAAAGTAATTTTTACCATACGTACAGCACCATATATTACTTTTTACAAATTCTAAAGTGCTTTGAATTTTGCAGCCCAACATTGATTATAGGCATCCAAAATTAATGTGCCCAATCCAATTTCAAATTTAAATTCACATGTACATTTTTCTTAAAAACTGTAAAAATGTATACAATTATTTCCATAATTATTTCCAAAATGTCTCTTCACATATAACTATTCACGTTTAAACCGGTGTGCTTTTAAAATCTCTGCATAGCACTAAAGATCCAGATTTATCATCCTATACTAATCTCTATAAAAATTCACTCTAAACAGCACCACTAATGAGACTAAATACACATCCTGATTCTTGATTGCAAGTAAATCTTCTAAAACATAATCGTTTGAGGCACCTGGGGAGAAATATTTACATGCACTTCAATTTGTATAACAGATGGGTTTTCTTGTGCAAAACCAGTTATACTGAAAGTGCTTGATATCGTCTTTGGCATGACTACAATATGGATGGATATGACTATATGGATTTTGCTATATATTTGCCATATTAGAAGCATTGCAGAAAAAGATATGATGTCTGGCTTGTTATAAATATGACAGGTGGAATAAAACCCAAGGGCCTACTGTATCTAATTTGTAATTGAGTCTTACTACGTGACTGAGCTGGGTCAAAAGAGAATGTACTCTTTCATTAGTTACAGTCTTACCTGCAAGAATGAACACTCTTATTAAAGGGTTAGTTCACCCAAAAATGAAAATTAGCCCATAAATTACTCACCCTCAAGTCATCCTAGGTGTATATGACTTTCTTCTTTCAGACGAATCCAGTCGGAGTTCAATTAAAAATGGTCTTTGATCTTTCATGCTGTTTCTTGGCACTCAGCGGGTGTTGCAGTGCTTCAGTTCAAAAGCACTTAATTAAAATGCACCCATCCATAAAAAACACACGGCTCCGGGGGGTGAACAAAGACCTTCTGTAGCGAATCGATGCGTTTTTGTAAGAAAAATATCCATATTCAAAATGTAATAATCAACAATAATAGCCAACAGTTGTACACGGAAGCAGCTCCGGGAGCATGACGTATGAGGTCAGTGCTGCGTATGCGCCGGTGAGTCTCGTGAAAACCAACGTTTGTTAACAGGAGCAACGGAAGCAAAGTTTCCTTACTTTAGCAAAGGAAAACCAGAGAAAGCACAAGCAAGGAAAGAAGCTGTGAAAAGCATTATTTCAGGATTGCTACTGACATGAATGGAACCGTGTGGTCACGTGGCATTATTCTTCTGTTTGCTGTCTGTCTTTGCACTGAACAGATGTGTGTAGTCTCTAATAATATAATTGCTCAACAGATGAAAAGCAAAAGGCTGTAAGCAGCAGAGAATTTAGATTATGCACTCAGCAGAGGCAGAAAATAAAAATTCCAAATCAGAGGTGAGCAAATAATAGATCAGACACTAAATGTGCTCTAGTTTCTCTCGGGTTTATTTATGAAATTTGAAATCAGTTGATTTGTGAAAAAACTGACAAATATTCTTACACGTTTTCAACAGGTACTAATGTGACCAACACTGTGTCTGCTAAATATGTCACCACAAAGAAACAAAGCGTAGTGCAATTTCCAACCACTGAGAAAATCAAAAACTCCAAAAATGATCAATATTAAATTTTGAACATGACACATATGGCCTCTGAAAGCTAAAATATTTTCCCAGTTTTCACAAACTTCAATTAGTTTAAGAGAAAAAAAAATCACTGCATTTATGAATAAACAGTGAAAATCTCAGTTTCATCTTTACATATTTCTTCCAGTAAGCTAATTAATGATTCTTAAAGTAATTTTTACCATACGTACAGCACCATATATTACTTTTTACAAATTCTAAAGTGCTTTGAATTTTGCAGCCCAACATTGATTATAGGCATCCAAAATTAATGTGCCCAATCCAATTTCAAATTTAAATTCACATGTACATTTTTCTTAAAAACTGTAAAAATGTATACAATTATTTCCATAATTATTTCCAAAATGTCTCTTCACATATAACTATTCACGTTTAAACCGGTGTGCTTTTTAAATCTCTGCATAGCACTAAAGATCCAGATTTATCATCCTATACTAATCTCTATAAAAATTCACTCTAAACAGCACCACTAATGAGACTAAATACACATCCTGATTCCTGATTGCAAGTAAATCTTCTAAAACATAATCGTTTGAGGCACCTGGGGAGAAATATTTACATGCACTTCAATTTGTATAACAGATGGATTTTCTTGTGCAAAACCAGTTATACTGAAAGTGCTTGATATCGTCTTTGGCATGACTACAATATGGATGGATATGACTATGTGGATTTTGCTATATATTTGCCATATTAGAAGCATTGCAGAAAAAGATATGATGTCTGGCTTGTTATAAATATGACAAGTGGAATAAAACCCAAGGGCCTACTGTATCTAATTTGTAATTGAGTCTTACTACGTGACTGAGCTGGGTCAAAAGAGAATGTACTCTTTCATTAGTTACAGTCTTACCTGCAAGAATGAACACTCTTATTAAAGGGTTAGTTCACCCAAAAATGAAAATTAGCCCATAAATTACTCACCCTCAAGTCATCCTAGGTGTATATGACTTTCTTCTTTCAGACGAATCCAGTCGGAGTTCAATTAAAAATGGTCTTTGATCTTTCATGCTGTTTCTTGGCACTCAGCGGGTGTTGCAGTGCTTCAGTTCAAAAGCACTTAATTAAAATGCACCCATCCATAAAAAACACACGGCTCCGGGGGGTGAACAAAGACCTTCTGTAGCGAATCGATGCGTTTTTGTAAGAAAAATATCCAAATACAAAATGTAATAATCAACAATAATAGCCAACAGTTGTACACGGAAGCAGCTCCGGGAGCATGACGTATGAGGTCAGTGCTGCGTATGCGCCGGTGAGTCTCGTGAAAACCAACATTTGTTAACAGGAGCTAGCCAACAGTTGTACACGGAAGCAGCTCCGGGAGCATGACGTATGAGGTCAGTGCTGCGTATGCGCCGGTGAGTCTCGTGAAAACCAACGTTTGTTAACAGGAGCAACGGAAGCAAAGTTTCCTTACTTTAGCAAAGGAAAACCAGTCTCCTCTTGGCTTATATCGAAATCCTCCGACATTCTTCTTTACAAATCCTCGTTTTGTTCTTCTAATTAGTGACCGTTGTTTTGTTCTCTCTGCTGCGTTTCCGCGAGCGTCACTTCTGAGCGGCGCATGCGCAAAGCCGACCTCATACGTCATCTGCCCAGAGCTGCATCCGTGTAGGACTGTTGGCGCAAGCTACATTTAAGTGATTATTACGTTTTGAATATAGATATTTTTCTTACAAAAACGCATCGATTCGCTACAGGAGGCCTTTGTTCACCCCCCGGAGCCGTGTGAGACACTTTTTTTATGGATGGGCGCTTTTTAATTAAGTGCTTTTGGACTGATGCACTGCAACCCCCGCTGAGTGCCATGAAACAGCTTGAAAGATCAAAGACAATTTTTTATATAACTCCAACTGGATTTGTCTGAAAGAAGAAAGTCATATACAGCTAGGATGACTTGAGGGCGAGTAATTTATGGGCTAATTTTCATTTTTGAGTGAACAAACCCTTTAAGGCACAATAGTATGATATGATTATGTGTATGGAGGACCAAACTGGGATGGTGTAATCAAACAAATAGCAAAACAACATGGTTAGCACATGATATTTTAGCAAAATGAAAACCGTTGGAGCCAATAATTGATTGTGCAAGTTAAAAATGCCTTTAGCTCCATGAATCACCCTGTGTTATTTTCTTATGATGTACATATCAAATGTATGGCTTTGGTAAGCAAGGGAAGGCAGAGGTGACTGCACACGTTTTGGGAACACTGGTCTATTTGTACCTGGAGGAGTAATACTCTTCCTCAAGCTCATACAGGTCAATGGCAATCTCATCACGCAGGGAGATGAGCTTCTTGTCGCACTCTTCCTGCAGCGTGCGCAGCTGCTGGTTGCGGAGACTGATGGCCTCGTTGACAGAAGGGAAGTCATTCAGGATGAGGAACTGCTTCAGGTCTGAGACAAGCTTCATGAGAGACTCTCCTGCGCGTACCTAATACATATTACACATGTAAATGTCATCCAAGTCTGATATGCCTATTTATTATCGTACTATCACTGCAGATCTTACAATGTTGGCAGCTCGCACGTGCATTTCATAGTGGTCCTGCTCAGCTTGTGTCGCTCTGGAAACCTGAGTCTCTTCTTCCACCTGATAGATCAGATGACCAGATTATCATCCCAATGTCTCATAACTAAATCATATTGATATGAACGTCACACAGCAAAATGCATACCAACATACCTTTGCTGATTTGATTATTTCCGTAAAATTGTCTAGAATTGACCTGATGTCATCTTTAAGTCTCTTGTTGTAGTTCTGCAGAAGAGTTTCTTTGCTTTGCGGGAGGACTCTCTGTGTGGCCATCTCAGCGCCCTTCAGTCAGACTCGACTCAGTGCTAAAGGATCAGAAACACGACATTACTGTTAGAATTGCAATTGGTTCACACTAACCGCTACTAAATACATATCATAAACAGCCATTACTACATTTCCACAACATAACTGCAGCCTGTTTTTTTAATATTTATTATCTTAAAATTATTAATATATTAATTATCACTATTTATTAATAGTGGTTTAATACTGGTTGATACTTTAAAGTGTATAGTAGTTAGTAGTAATTAATCCTAGGGAGTCAGCTTTCACATTAACGTTACACATTTGTAAACCCGTTTTTATTTACATTTATAAGGTCAATTACATTGACTGCACAAATGCAGTTCGTGACGGCGACGCAGCCTTTTTAATGCTTGTCTATCTGTGAAAATGTCTATTTTTAGAAACGCATAGAAGCGAAAACACAACACAAGTCAATTCATTTGCCGTCAACATTCGACATTTTGTTTAGTATTTTCTCAGATTGTAAAACTAAACAGCGCGTGCAGGTTTCTGTAACCATACACCACGCATGAATAATTAATTAGGTAAAAAAAAAACGTTGTCGTTGCTATAGCTTAAACGCAAGTAAACTCGCTACTCACAGCTGCAAACATTCTTTTAATATCTCTTCAAATAAACACGAGCCTCCCTCATTTGTTCTGTCGCGTACAGATGATGTCATCGCGGTAATTATATTCCCCACAGTCCTTTGCGTCTTCCTTTCCGTCTGAACCAACATGGTGAGTGTCCGATGGTTTTGACTGGGAAGCCGCTACTTGCTTAAAATCCTTTAGCATCCAGTTTTGTAGTGTGTTCTCTGACTCATAAAATATCGGTTATTGGAAATAAAGCACCAACGCTTGCTCTCTGAATGAAAATTGCGATCATTTTAAGGGTTTAAAAGAAGAATGTGAGCTGTGTAGTGATCGGTTACTGTCAGCACCGACGCCTCGAGTTGTGGCGCCGTTAGACTGTAAGCCGTTAAACGGTATTATCCGTAGGTTCAATGCGGACTCACTTGACTGCTGATCTGGTTTTAATAACATGTTTATTATTATGAGAAACCTTAACCGTGGGCTCCAACGCGAATGCTACCCTGTTAGCGGACTGGTTTGTAGGCCAAAAATGAATCCGATCGGCCCAGCGGTGCATATTAAACACGCAAGCGCTGCTGTATAGTACACTGGTATACACCTGTTGATCAATTAAAAACCTGCGAAGTATGATTAGTGAAAGTGCAATGTTGTTGGGTACGCGTGTATCTCTTGGATGCTAAAGTGGTAAAGTTGCTACAACGCATGTCACATCTTAAGGTGGTGTGTTTTGACTTTATTTTGTTGGTTTTTGCAGTGATGTCTTGAATTTCTTCACCTGAACTTTGTGTAGAACGCATTTTTTGTTGTTTAACTGAGCAAAAGCCACAAAATGGTGTTTCTCTTGAAGTTTTTGCTCATTTTGGATGATGAGCTCAAGTATTGTGCTTCTCTTCACAGCCTAAGGGGAAAAAGGCTAAGGGGAAGAAAGTGGCACCAGCCCCTTCAGTGGCCAAGAAGCATGAGGCCAAGAAAGTTGTGAATCCCCTGTTTGAGAAGAGGCCCAAGAACTTTGGCATTGGTGAGTAACAACTGGACCACAGATGAGGTCAGTCATTTAAAGTGTAGCTGTCAAATAAGTGCAGATGATGTTATAAATATTTGCTATCTTAACAGCAATGCAGACAATCTTCCACCAAGATCGCTGATGCACATGTGTCTTGAAAGCAACTGACAGTTTGTTGACCCTAATGCTAATGAAAGTCATGCACTTTAATCTTCAGGTCAGGACATCCAGCCGAAGCGGGATCTGACCCGATTCGTGAAATGGCCACGTTACGTCCGGCTGCAACGCCAGCGGGCCATCCTCTACAAGCGTCTGAAGGTTCCCCCTGCGATCAACCAGTTCACCCAGGCTCTGGACCGCCAGACTGGTGAGTTATTTGCTTGACTGGAGTCTCCTACATCTTTCTGCTGTTGTTCATACAACGATGCTTGTAGAGGTTGGCGGATAGTGGATTTCATCAATAACCAATCAATCAACAATTGTTTTAAGTCAATAATATGAACGAAAAGTTGCTTTATGTAAGAGTGCTGTAATTAATTAGAAAATTAACTAATGACTTAACCATGATATTATTGTATGTCTCGCAGAGGAATTAAATAGTTGCGTCTTGCCGTTAATTCCACAAAGTAAATATAAGCCTCAATCATTGAAAACTATATATTGGTCGACTTCTAAATGCTTTTTAAACTTTTGCGAATGTGCAGATGATGTGAGAATATTTGCTATCTGAACAGCAATGCAGACAATCTTCCACCAAGATCACTGATGCACTGTTTTATATATATATTTTTATTTTTTATTTTTATTATTGCTGTTTAAAATTCATTTTGAACTGTTCTGTAAAATTACCGATAACCTAAGTTTTCACCAGTGTTAACTCTTTACATTCTTTCTGTAGCTACCCAGCTGTTCAAGCTGGCCCACAAGTACAGGCCCGAGACCAAGCAGGAGAAGAAACAGAGACTGCTGGCTCGTGCTGAACAGAAGGCTGCTGGAAAGGGAGATGTGCCCACTAAGAGGCCACCAGTCGTCCGTGCAGGTGGGTCTTTTTAAAGAGTCTCACTGTTTTATATATATATATTTTTTTTTAATTTTTTTATTTTTATTATTGCTGTTTAAAATTCATTTTGAACTGTTCTGTAAAATTACCGATAACCTAAGTTTTCACCAGTGTTAACTCTTTACATTCTTTCTGTAGCTACCCAGCTGTTCAAGCTGGCCCACAAGTACAGGCCCGAGACCAAGCAGGAGAAGAAACAGAGACTGCTGGCTCGTGCTGAACAGAAGGCTGCTGGAAAGGGAGATGTGCCCACTAAGAGGCCACCAGTCGTCCGTGCAGGTGGGTCTTTTTAAAGAGTCTCTTTACTTTGAAGACACTGAAAGGTCCAACTCTTTCTGGAGTTACGAGTTGCATTCTCCATTGTTCTCAACCTTTTTGACTCTAAGGCCCACCTTTTGTCCAGGACGATATTTGATGACCCTCTTATCTAAGCTGATATGTACCTCTGGTACTTATGTTGTAATAAAATTAAACGGTTATTAGCATTTTAATTGAGATTAACAAGTAATTTTAATGGGGAGCCCTTGGAAGTTTGCTAAAGCCCCCTAGTGGTTACCGGGCCCTGGTTGAGCAAAACTGCTGTATATCATGTGGCTTTAATATCTGTTTGTTAACACTTTTGTTCATTCTCAGGTGTGAACACAGTGACCACACTAGTGGAGAGCAAGAAGGCACAGCTGGTCGTTATTGCTCACGATGTGGATCCCATTGAGGTGAGTTTTTCTACTGGATGTATACATCTAGTCATAAATCATGTTGTGGTTGTCTGCAGTGATGTCTTGAATTTCTTCACCTGAATTCAAACTGAAGATCAAAAATACGAGCTTTTTAACCCTGAGCAACAACCACATGTTTCACAGGAGTATTTCTGTAATGATTCTTTTAAAGGAGCTGGCTACTAAACTGGGCTGAGCTCCTGTCTTGTTTAATAAATAAAAATGTTCCCACAAAACTGGTTGAAGTTCTTTTTACGTTTCAGTGTGTTTGTTGCTTTTAAAGCTTAAGAAAATACATGCAATTAGAAAACCGATTTCTGAACATTTAGAGATTTGTATAAGAGTTAAAATCGCTTTAAGAGGGACCGTTAGCTGTTCTCCAAACTTGAAACTATTAGTTAATGAAATTTAAATGAAACCATCAGCAGGGGTTCCCAAACTTTTTTTTTAGTATTTTTTTATTTTATTTTTTTTAAACCATTCATCCTGTGGCCCCTTGAAAACCACTGCTCGAGGCTTTGTATCCATCCACGAAATGCATTAAAACAATGCACAAACTAATTGACAAATCCATGTTTTTATTAACAGTAAGTTCAACATAAGTGCTTTATAATTCTAAAGCGTATATTCCACAAGGGCAAAGTGCTGAATATATTTCATAAAGCTATACGCTTAATGAATTTTGCGTACCACATGTAGGAGGTAGCTGCACACAATCCGTACCTAAAAGAAGAACAACAGAATAGTTCACCTCGTGCTCATTTTTAAGATTACAATCAAATAGTTCCTAAATGGTTTTTAAACTTTTTCTTTTTCAATTCAATAGTAAATGCAGGATTTAAATAAAAACAGATTCTGTTTTAAGGCATGACAATAGATTAGTAATGCGTGTAATTAAACAAACCATGTGATGACATATTGCATGTGTTCATTCCTCAAGGTCACTCTTGTCTGCCCTCCTATTGGCCCACCAGGTATTGTGCTGTCTGAATGAAAAACAAGGAGCTGGCTACTAAACTGGGCTGAGCTCCTGTCTTGTTTAATAAATAAAAATGTTCCCACAAAACTGGTTGAAGTTTGACTGGTTCTTTTTACGTTTCAGTGTGTTTGTTGCTTTTAAAGCTTAAGAAAATACATGCAATTAGAAAACCGATTTCTGAACATTTAGAGATTTGTATAAGAGTTCAAATCGCTTTAAGAGGGACTGTTAGCTGTTCTCCAAACTTGAAACTATTAGTTAATGAAATTTAAATGAAACCATCAGCAGGGGTTCCCAAACTTTTTTTAGTATTTTTTTATTTTATTTTTTTTAAACAATTCATCCTGTGGCCCCTTGAAAACCACTGCTCGAGGCTTTGTATCCAGCCACGTAATGCATTAAAACAATGCACAAACACAAACTAATTGACAAATCCATGTTTTTATTAACAGCAAGTTCAACATACGTGCTTTATAATTCTAAAGCGTATATTCCACAAGGGCAAAGTGCTGAATATATTTCATAAAGCTATACGCTTAATGAATTTTGCGTACCACATGTAGGAGGTAGCTGCACACAATCCGTACCTAAAAGAAGAACAACAAAGAATAGTTCACCTCGTGCTCATTTTTAAGATTACAATCAAATAGTTCCTAAATGGTTTTTAAACTTTTTCTTTTTCAATTCAATAGTAAATGCAGGATTTAAATAAAAACAGATTCTGTTTTAAGGCATGACAATAGATTAGTAATGTGTGTAATTAAACAAACCATGTGATGACATATTGCATGTGTTCATTCCTCAAGGTCACTCTTGTCTGCCCTCCTATTGGCCCACCAGGTATTGTGCTGTCTGAATGAAAAAATAAGATTTTAACAGACTCCCCCACTTTTCTGATCAAAAAGTTTGTACACCATACATTCACCAAACATTAGTATTAAGAGCAGCTCTAACCAAGTACAGCATCAATGAAGATTTCCTCAGCACCAGTGACCTTTGCCATGGTCTCCAGGTCACGATAGTGCCACCTATTTGCCTCCACATTGTTTTGAGGGATGAATGGTTTCCGCTGCTCGGTTAAACGCACCACACCAACAAGATCCACATCCTCAATCACCTTTTAGAAAATATAAACACCCCTTTAACATTTAGAGAGATAAAGAAAATGTAATACAAAAATGAATATGAAAAATCAAAAATCACAAAGATAAAATTAAGCAAGTAAGACACTTTGATAATGTTTATGCCTAGATTTGATTCAGAAGAGCTTAAGAAAGACAGTATTACCTGTCCCTTCATCCTGGTTTCTGGTCTGATCTTATCTTTTGGTACGAAACCTCTGTTCACCAAGATAGTGATCCTAAAAAATGGATCCAGAAGGTTTTTACACACCCATATCAGAGTGCAAAGCAAGTGTATGTAATTAAGTGAAATTCAAATTGTGTGTGTTTGTACCCCAGATCACTACAGTAGAACGGTGTAATGACATTAGCTCCACTCTGCCCGCTGGAGGAAATCCTGCCTGCCTCCCGGGCCTCTCTCTCAGGGTCCACAGGGGAGCGGGGCAGGACATACAGCTCTTTAGAGTGGTCAAAGTGTCCACGCACCTTTACTCGCCTGTATTGCAGCTGCTTAATTTCCATAGGACTGTGTCAAACACAGATTACATCACCATTTCATTTTATAAACACTAGAGATTATGGCACATAGATTTCGAAAGAGACTCACTCTATGGGCAGTGGGATAGGCTCTTTAGTCGTCAGGCTCTGAAGTTCACGGATCAGCTCCAACTTCCACTTTCTGCGTTTCAACTACAAAATCAAATGGAAGGCTTTTCACAAATAGCTAATTGCTGTTTTAGTTATGTTTTATATAATGTGTAAACCACACTTGTGCCTGTACCTGCCATGTTCCAAGACAAAAGGTTGTGGCAGGTATCAACAAGAGAAACCACTTCAGGAAGGAGTCTTCTCCTTTCTCGGTTCCCGCAACAGTGGAACTTGACCGTTGACCAAACCTGGTTAGGATACCTATAGAAAAAAACATCTGAACACTTTAAAATCACAAACTGCACAAGCATAATGCCTGAATATATTTCAGCTATATTTAAGTCTAGTCTATTAGAAACTCACTCTAACGGTTAACCTATTTTATTTTATACTACCATTAAAAAGTTTTGGGTTGGCATTTTATTATATAAAATTAATTATTTTATTCAGCAAGGATGCGGTAGATTGATGAAAAGTGACAGCTGAAAAATCTAACAGCTGAAAATGATCAGCTTTGCCATCACAGGATCAAATTACATTAAAAGTAAATACATATCAAGTTAGATTTTTTTTTGTTTTGTAGTAATATTCCACATTATTACAGTATACAGTTTTTTGATTAAACACAAGCAGCCCTGGTGAGCATAAGAGACTTATTAAAGTTATTCAAACGTTTTAAACGGTAATGTAGTCAGTTTAGTCAATAATCAAGAATATAGTAAGTGAGCAAGCAAAACTGAATTACAGCTGAGTACTGGAGCATCCTGACGTCTGAACAGACCCTGTCGTGTCACAAATAGGGTCCTCTTTGGTGAGATGAGAGTCTGGGAAAAGAACAAATAAACTACACTTTAGCTGTCAAGAATGACATGATGACAAGAATGATAACAAACATTTTGATTTAAATATATATATATACATATACATATTAATCGTAAACTGCTTTATGAGACGGAAAAATGTAAATGAACTTACACTGCCTCGAATGATCTTAGATGTGCTATTAGAGAACATCAGCATTAATCTGAAACTGCTCATATCTTAGCTGAAATTGTTGTATCCCGAACAGCAACTGTCTGTCAGGTCGACTGCATAACCAGCCTTGTGCTTTCGGGGGAATGTTTTCAATGTAACCATTTAAAACATTTTGATTTAAATATATATATATATACATATTAATCGTAAACTGCTTTATGAGACGGAAAAATGTAAATGAACTTACACTGCCTCGAATGATCTTAGATGTGCTATTAGAGAACATCAGCATTAATCTGAAACTGCTCATATCTTAGCTGAAATTATTGTTGTATCCCGAACAGCAACTGTCTGTCAGGTCGACTGCATAACCAGCCTTGTGCTTTCGGGGGAATGTTTTCAATGTAACCATTTCCGGGGATTCCGACGTTTGAACCATCCTGCGCATGCGCAAGAACATACACACGTGGGGTATGTTTCTGAATTTGTATTTAGTAAAGTTATAAGGGTTATTGTATTTAGTGCACATTCCTAGGCTTTTATCTGAATAAGTTTGTAATTTCTAAGGAGGTACACCATTCTCAGCTGATGAAACGGTTACCACATCACAGCAGTTTGGATTGAGCGAGGTAACGTATATATACCGTACAAGTCAAACGAATAATGATATGTTTATTAAATGCATTAATTGACGTATTTGTTATTGATATCATAAAATACTGCATAGGTTTCACAACATTCTGACTTTGTTAAAATTGTAAGCAATGTGTTGTTTTGAGCTGGTTAGGGATGGCATGTTACATATCTGCATCAAATGTCTGTATTAATTAATTTATTTGTTCATTTATTTATAATAGAAAAATGGCCAGCCTCGCTGCGAAGTATGATTACCTAGAGAAGTTGACCCGTAAAGTAAGCGTGTCTCACAACCAGGAGCCGAAGAAAAGACCCTATGGTAAAGTTCTGGATTGTCAATTACTTAGTAAATACTGAACAGGCACCTGCAGGGTTTATTCATTCATTCAAAGTTTGTATCGTCAGAGTAAGTAGTTAAAAATAAATAACTTCATTATTTAATTGTAGTTAATAAAGGTTTATTAATTCCCCTTTTAGTTCCATTCCGAGGCAGTGGGGTAAATGATGGTGCTCCTTCAAAGAAGAACAAACAAAAGCCAACAAAAGGAGATTACAAACAGAGTGCAAACAGAAATAAACCAGTCCTAAAGACCACTCAGCCTGCAGCACCTCCAGTTCAGAGAAAAACTGTCCAGAATGGGATTTCAGAGACACAAAAGGAGCCTGAGGGTAAAAAGTAGTTTGTAAAGAGAGATTAGTAGTTCATCCAGTATGCTTTATTCTTGTTGAATGCTGTTGCATTTTTACTGATTCATTTCTGTTAGGTGAAGCATCACAGGAATTTAATGCTGTAGCCATTCTTCGTCAGAGGCTTCACCAGAAGATTGAGGAGTCTCGTGGACAGGTACATACATACTCAAGTTGGACTAAAATATTCAAATTGGCTAAAAGTGTTATCTTGGTCAAAGGATTGTTAAATGTTTGAATGTTAATATGCTGAATCACTTTACTTCAAGGGATGGTTCACCCAAAAATGAAAATTCTGTCATCATTTTCTCTCCCTCAACCTGTAAGAGTTTCGTTATTCTGCTGAGCACAAAAGATATTTTGAAGAATGTGGGTAACCGAACAGTTTCTGGTCCCCATTGACTTTCAAATAATTTTTTTTATACTATGGGAGTCAGTGTTTACCAACAACTGTTTGGTTGTCCTCATTCTTTAAAATATATGTTTTGTGTTCAACAGAATAATGAAACTCATACAGTTTGAGGTTGAGTAAATGATGAACTATCCCTTTAAAAATGCCATGTTTAACTGTATGGGTCAGAGAAATTGTTCATTGCTGATAAAAAGCTAAATTATGACAGTTTTTCTGCAAAAACAAAATAAAATATTATATCATCCATTTAAGAGGTTCTAAGCCAAGCATTTATGTTTGTTTTTTTCCAGGGCCCTCCTAAAGATCCCTCCTCTGAGGAGGTAAAGAAGAAACGAGAGAGACGAAAACTAGAAAGGGAGCGTCGGAAGAGGAAAAGGAAAGAGTTTCGAAGGAAAAAGTTAGCAGATGCTGCAGCTTTGCAGGCAGGAGAAGAGGACAAAGAAGAAAGCAAAGCCCCAACTGCAAGCCACCTCGACACCGACCACGCCTGACAAAAAGGAGCAGAGCTTCATAGTCTTCAACAAGATGGAGGTTGGAGAAGACTATGTGGACAAAGGAACAAAGCTGATGCAGCAAAATAAAAGGAAAGTGAAAGGAACGCTGACTCCGCTTACTGGCAAGAACTACAAACTGCTTTTAACACGCACTGAGGCAAGAAAAGCTCACCTAGAGCAGCTTAAAGAGAAGGATGAAGGGAAAGAAAGAAAAAAAAAAGAGGAAGAGAAGATGAGGTGGACCAATGTTCTCTACAAAGCGGAAGGCATGAAAATCAAAGACAATGAGGAGCTCTTATGTGCATCGAAGAAGGAGAAAATGAAGGCTCAGAAAAAAAAAGAAGCGGGCACAGACGAGCCAGCAAGTCGTGGAGAAGATGCAAAAGAGGCAAGACAAGCGGAGAAGGAACATTAAGAAACGCAAGGATGCCAAGATGGAGAAAGGCAAACAGAGGGCAAGGAAAAAGGGTTGTGTACTGCCTGAGGATCTCAAGAAGGCCAGCTTATAGGCAGAAAGGATTCAAAGAAGTGAGGATTTGAGGGTAATGCTCTTGGAATAAAGGACTTTACCTTGTGTTTAGTGTTTGTGAAAAAAAATTCACAACATATTATTGTGAAGAAATGTCATCTTTGTCACTTTTAAGATGCCAGCTTTATAAAGAGCATATTTCGTGTCCATATTTTGTGTTTTTATTATTCTGTCAAGCCAAGTTTGGACATTTATCTACATTTACGTTTATGTGACTTACAATAGAGGCACATAAAGCAATTTGTCACAGAGCCAACAATATTCATGGTGTACTGTACAGGGCAAGGTATATTAGAATGCTAGATCAGGAAACAAAAGATCTGCCTCTTTTGTCGGTTCTGTATATTTAAAGTTGTAATTTGTAATGATAATTCTTATTGTACAACATGTAGACCTATATTGTCAATGTTATTGTTAGCAGTCACTGGCCCCGCCCACAGCGGAAGTAATCTTACAAAAGTGCTGCCTGGAGGAGGTCTGCTCGCAGTGTTATTCAGGAAGACGCTTGAGAAGTTAATGTGTGACTTCGTGAACAGCTGGGGAAAGTAAATGAACAAGGTTTGGTGCAAAACAGGGAGTTCTGTGTATTCGTTTTTTATAATACAGTATGAAATCGACATTTGCCGAAGTATTTTAGGCTTCGATTTTCACTTGAATCTAAATCCCAAGGACAAGACTGCTGTCATGTCACTGAATCATTGACTACACGTTTTTAAAGTTGACAGTTAAAATGCTAGAGATTTGGCGTGATTCTAATCGTACTGTGTGTGTGTGTGTTACTGATTTACGAGCAGAAATCCTTACTACATGGTTTTCTTCTTGATTATGCAGGGCAATATGTCGCGTAAGTTGCACGCGAGAAGAATTGAAGGAATTGACAAGAATACATGGTAATTAAGTTTCATGGCTATGAATGAAGTGAAAGTATAAATGGGTAGACGGTAGCCATTTAGTGCTGTACTTCCGGCTTATTACACGACACTTGCCAAATAAGTAAATACATGGATATAAATATCGAGTTATTTTATTAAAATGTTGGAATGCATAAGTTTCCGCTAAAAAGTCATTATAACTTAGAAAACATCCGGTCAAGCAGCAAGACGAGCACTGCAAAATATAGACCTACTTGTTTAATTATGCATTTTTAATAAAATATTAGTCTATTAAAAAGGTATATTTCGCAATTTTCGTCGCGTTGATTGATCAATAGTTTTCCTAGTATAATCGATTTTTTTTCAGTTGTATTATTATTATTATTATGCCACCAATGTAATCTATGAATGTCTTCCATGCCATAAATATTAAAATGAATACTGTCCTCCATTTTTAAAATCGGTAGTCGCAATAACAGTTTTAAGTCTCAAGATGGCGCCAATTAGCTATTCTAGTAGTTCAGTGAGCTGTGTAATAATCTACCTAAAACTACCTGAAGAATAGTTTATTACTCCCTCCCACATATTGTCAAGTCAAGTAAATGCTCATTTTAATGTTTAAAACTGCATGTTATTACTTTTGTGTATGTTATCTGTAGGGTGGAATTCAGTCAGCTGGCTGCTGACTATAAGGCTGTGAACCTGGGTCAGGGCTTCCCTGATTTCTCCCCTCCTCATTTCATTCAGGAGGCCTTCTGCAAAGCCCTGAATGGAGGTTTCTCCAAGCACCAGTATACACGCGCTTTTGTAAGACATTAAAAGTGCAAGTACAAGTGCTTTGTTCGCATTCAGTTTGCAGTTTGTCTGTTTAGTAAATGTTCAACCACTGCATAATATAATAATTATATTAGTAAAGTTTTGCTAAAGAATCTTACAACATGCAGGGCCACCCAAATCTTGTGAAGATCCTGGCCAAATTCTTCGGTAGGATTGTTGGCCGGGAAATAGACCCAATGGAGGATATCTTGGTTTCTGTAGGAGCATATCAAGCACTTTTCTGCACCTTCCAGGCTCTTATTGATGAGGGCGATGAGGTAACATTATTGTTAAAAAGACAATATTCATATTCAGAAAATTATATTGTTAGAAGATAAAAAAGACACTCACTGTTTCCTTATGTTCAATACATGGTATCAGAATGCCCATTTTTCCCTTTTTTTGAGCGCAGGTGATTATTGTGGAGCCATTCTTTGACTGTTATCAGCCAATGGTAATGATGGCGAGCGGAACAGCTATATATGTGCCCCTTAAACCAGTATGTTCATATATCACGTGACAAGACCTGTTTGCTTGATCTGAGATTAAAATGTTTATTTTGAATAATATTAGCTGTGTATTGACAGAGGGAAGGCTGTGGTCCTGTTCTATCCAGTGCTGACTGGGTGTTGTCTCCTGAAGAGTTGGCGAGTAAATTTAGTCCTCGTACCAAAGCCATTGTCATTAACACTCCTAATAACCCTCTTGGCAAGGTGAGTCAGTCACCAACAAATGGAGGACAATTTTACCTTTTGTTGTACTGTTGTCCAATATAGTCTTTTATGAGCGAATTTCACGAAAACTGTCAAGAAATGTCTGGGTTATGTTTCACCCCAAATCAAAAGAATGAAATAAGAACTTACATTTTGCAAAGAAATTAGGTCTTTTTAAATACCATTTAAATTTTTCATCATGACATTATTTATATATAATAATATAGAAGATATTATATATATATAAATGGAGATAAGAGATTAACAACATATGTCTGGACAGGCAGTGTTACTGTAATGAGAATGCTATTTTTCACATTACATAAGAATTATATTTGAATATTTTTAAAGGGGGTCATATGATGTGATTTAAATTTTTCCTTTGTCTTTGAAGTGTTACAAGCTCTTGGTGCATAAAGAAGATCTGTAAAGTTGCAAAGACTAAAGTCTCAAATCCAAAGAGATATTCTTTATAAAAGTTTTGAGGTATTCGGCCAATCACAATGCACTGGATAGCTGGCCAATCAGAGCATACCTCGCTTTTCAGAACGATGAGCTTTGTAAGAATCGACGCGTTTCAGAAAGGTGGGGCATAGAGGAGAAACAATAATGTACAGTATGTGGAAAATAATGTGTTTTTTTTACTTTAAACCGCATAAACACATTTCTTTACACCAAATACACAAAATAATGTTATTTTTAGCAACATCATATGACCCCTTTAATGTTTAATGAAAGAAGTCTCTTATGCTCACTAAAGCTGCATTTATTTGATCAAAAATGTAGTAAAAATATTAATATTGTGAAATATTATTTAAATTTAAATGACTGTTTTCTATTTTAAATATATTGAGCAATTTATTCCTGTGATGACAAAGCTGAATTTTCAGCAGCATTACTCCAATCTTCAGTGTCTTATGATCCATATGCTTAAGAAATATTTCTTAATATTATCAATGTTGAAAACCGTTGTTCAGCTTAATATTTTTATGGAAACTATGATACATTTTTTTTTCAGAATTATTTAATGAATAGAAAGTGTGAAAGAACTGCATTTATTATAATAGAAATCTGTTGTAACATTGTAAATGTCTTTACTTTTCAATTATCAATTTAATGCATCTTTGCTGAATAAAAGTATTAATTATTTTTATTTTTTTAATCTTACTGACTCCAAATCTTTGAATGGAAATGTAATTAATATAAAAATGCAAACTGACACTGAGCTGGAATGACCTTTCAGGTCAGTGGGTGAGATTTTTACTACTGAGACGAATATGTTCAGCCAAAGCCTGAACTGTGCTTTCTTGCAGGTCTATCAGCAGGAGGAACTTCAGATGATTGCGGACTTGTGTATTAAACATGACGTCATTTGCATCAGTGATGAGGTATACGAGTGGCTCACATATGATGGAACAAAACATGTGAAAATTGGTAAGAGCAATACTATGCAGGTAATGCAATTAATCACAATTTTGTGGACGTTTAAAGCAAAAAATGTAATAATGTTTTTTGGCAGCCAGTCTGCCAGGTATGTGGGAACACACTGTCACCATTGGGAGTGCAGGCAAGACTTTCAGTGCCACAGGATGGAAGGTGAGCTGGTCAAATTGAACAGGATTTGTGTCTTGCATTGTTATTTTCCTCTGTTTGTCTTAATGTCTTTGACTGGCTGGAAGTGTCATGGTGATAAGGTTCAGTATGCAGGTCATTAAATTACTCTATTATTTTAATGAAGGTGGGTTGGGCAATGGGACCAGGGCATATCCTGAAGCACTTAAAAACCGTCCATCAGAATTCAGTGTATCACTGTGCCACAGCTGCCCAGGTAAAACAATGCTCCTTTGTTTTAGGGGTAAAGTGTGTGTATTTTGTTTTCAGTGGGCTGACATTGTCTAATGTTGTTCTTAAGGAGGCTGTAGCAGTAGGTTTTCAGAGGGAATATGATGTATTTGGATCAGAGGAAAGCTATTTCCACCAGTTACCCATACATCTTCATGAAAAGCGACTGAGGCTGGCAGATTGTCTGAAGAGTGTTGGCCTAAAACCTGTACTACCCCAAGGAGGATACTTCATGATCGCAGATATCTCAAATCTTAGTAAGTAACAGTGAAAAAATGTAGAACAAAGTATTAAAGCAGGATTTCTTTATGGATTATACAAATACAATTTTTATATCTGAGAATTCCAGAGATGAGGTGCTTTTATGTTTTTGTTCTGAAAATTCTCTTCTTGAGCTTGTTAATTGTGCTCTCTTTTTATGGTAATACATAACATATCACTTATTGTTCCCACACTTTTTTCCATGTTTATTGGATAAAGATACTTTAAAAATAATTTTATAGGGTTTTCATCATATTATAGAGCCATTTTTAGCTGGTAAAATATTGTAGCACTGACTGGAAAGTAAAAAATATATATATATTTTATAGAATTATAAATATATATTTATAATAGAATATTTCTATAATTTAAGATTTTATTAATTTCCAGGAAAAGTTTAAAATTCCCTAATATTTCCAAGTTTTCCATGAATAGGGGAATCCTCATAATATGAGAAATCATAGTACAAAAAGGCTGTGATAGCATTGTTTTGACATGATTATTTCAAAATAAAGTTTGTTCTTATTGCTTTTTGTTTTTAAATGTTTTTCTACAAGATGTTGACCTTACTGATCCTAGTACTAAAGATGAACCCTATGACTACAGATTTGTGAAATGGCTCATAAAAGAGAAGGTAAACTAAAACAGCATTTACAGATGGGTTATAAAGTATTCTCATATAGTGACATCTGTGAGCAAAATATGTTGTTAAAGTTCTTCACTTCTGAATAGGGACTGGCCACTATCCCCGTGTCTGCATTCTACAGCCCGGAACACAAAGACCAATTCCAGAAATACATCCGATTCTGCTTTGTAAAGGTATTTCTTAACACACACACACACACAAAAAATTATGCAAAACATAACATTTTAACCATTTTAAAAATTAAGTTCTTTATAATTATTTGGGATGTCAATGTTGTTAGATTTTTTTATCAATAACATTATGTATGCTTAATATATTAGCTTTTTAGAAATTACTGCATTGTGAATTTTATGCTTCAGAGACTCTTTATTAAGTTTAGTTATCATCATTACAAGTTTTTTTTTTACTTTACTTTTAGTAAGCTCTGTTAAGCCAACTGTTGCTTAATCACATGAGTTAACATGTAAACTTTGACAGCCCTGATCATTTTTAATGTAATATGTCTTGCTTTATGTGGTGAATAGTACATTATTATACTAAATCAGGAAAAGTGATTGCCACTGTGATCTGTTCACCTTGTTAAAATGTTGTTTATATTATTTAATTCATATTTTTGTAAACATTAATAGGAGGACTCAACCCTGCAAGCAGCAGAGGACATACTGAGGCAGTGGAGTGACAGCAAATGAAAATTCAAAATTCAGACAGTACAGGCCTTGCACAGACTGAAAAATCTGAAAAGCAAGAGATCTTATAGCATAATCTAAAATGAGACTGGTTTGTTGCAGTTTGGGATATGAATAGTTATTAAAAAGAAAAGTGTTTATTATTAGGCTTAAGATTGAGAGCAGATGGTGCTAATTGCATCACAAAACAGAGGGATGAAAATCTTGCATGGCATGTGGGGTTTTAAAAAAAGGAAATGAGAATCACTCCCATGATAACAATATCATATAATTGTATTATCCGTATAATTTTATGCTAAAAATATATTAGTGGGTGGAATCTTTTCAGCCGGTTAAGCATTATTTGTCTTTGTCATGTTCTTCCCCCCCTTTTTTTTTTATGCGTTGTATTGCCAGATACTTCCTTCCTCTCTGGATTATACCTTGAACTGCATTACTGCCTGTAATTACTGGCTACACTCCAAGTTACAAATTACACATTAATAGATTTCACTTCATCTTAAACTGTTTTATTAACTTAATGTAAGTATTATATGCGGCCACTTTCATCATAAAATATTGCAAACTACATCGTACATCTGCATGTAAATCTAAATGAGCTTTCTTTGTAGATGGTCTGACTCTAAACACTGTCACCAATTACATAAGTTCTTTCACACACTTCTGCAGGAGAGAGCAATAATGTGTCGCACACTGGTTTGTTTTAAATAAAGGACACAGGGTTGTTGATGAGCTTTTTTCGAAGGCTTGATTGTGTTTATGTGGTGCAGTGTAACGTGTTCATGCTTAGTTTTTATAAAAAACACATTATTTTTCACATATTTTACCTTCATTATAACATTTCCTTTCTCGTAAAAACGGTCTGTTGAGTTCCTGGTTCTAGGAAGCCCCTCCCTCAGAAATACGCAATGGGCTCAGATTCGGCCGATCGCTAACTAGGGGTGCAGCGGATCGTAGATGATCCGTACGGATCAGGCTGCACGATTCGGAACGCATGTGATTTGCGGATTAACTGTTAAGTTTAACCATCATAGAGTTAAAGTTTATCATTTGCACATTCAAGCCATTTTAACTCGCACGCTGTTTTCTGTGCGCTCAGCCGCTGCCGCACACGCAGAAAGAGAGACACCGCGTGAACAGCGACTTGATTCCTCTTTCACATACGCACAAAGTTATGTTAAAATATCAGTTTTGGCAAGTATTCTAGTAAACACAGTCGGTTATGTCTTAAGTGTCCGTAAACAACTGAGAAAAAAAACTGTCAGTATTAGGTCCGTGCATTTGGTCTTAAAGAGAAAGCAGCCAATAAATACCTGCTTTTGTCTGCTAATCAAATAACACCTGAGCCCTAACAAAGATTAACCTGTATTTAACTTGTGCAGTGAGCACTATTGTGTTATTTTACACTTAGTTATTACATTTCTGCACCTCAGTGCTACTGTTTCTGACTTTATTTGTAACTGTGTTTTGTTGTATTCATCTATGCTTGTAATTTGTGTAATTGTTCTTGTTTTATTACTAACTTTATTCAAGCTAGTAGTTTTGCTGTGGTATAGCGGATCGTAGATGATCCGTACGGATCAGGCTGCACGATTCGGAACGCATGTGATTTGCGGATTAACTGTTAAGTTTAACCATCATAGAGTTAAAGTTTATCATTTGCACATTCAAGCCATTTTAACTCGCACACTGTTTTCTGTGCGCTCAGCCGCTGCCGCACACGCAGAAAGAGAGACACCGCGTGAACAGCGACTTGATTCCTCTTTCACATACGCACAAAGTTATGTTAAAATATCAGTTTTGGCAAGTATTCTAGTAAACACAGTCGGTTATGTCTTAAGTGTCCGTGAACAACTGAGAAAAAAAAACTGTCAGTATTAGGTCCGTGCATTTGGTCTTAAAGAGAAAGCAGCCAATAAATACCTGCTTTTGTCTGCTAATCAAATAACACCTGAGCCCTAACAAAGATTAACCTGTATTTAACTTGTGCAGTGAGCACTATTGTGTTATTTTACACTTAGTTATTACATTTCTGCACCTCAGTGCTACTGTTTCTGACTTTATTTGTAACTGTGTTTTGTTGTATTCATCTATGCTTGTAATTTGTGTAATTGTTCTTGTTTTATTACTAACTTTATTCAAGCTAGTAGTTTTGCTGTGGTATAGAAGTACTTAAAGTAAGCTTTCACTAATGTTTTTTTTTTTTTTTTTCTTATCCAAAAAATAATCCAATCCGTGACTCAAAATCTGTAATATGATTCGAACCATGAGTTTTGTGATCCGTTGCAGCACTATCGCTAACTGCCTACACTCTTAAAAATAAAGGTGCTTGTTAATAAAAATAACAATTGGTCCCTCGATATCTCTTTGCCGCCTTGAAGAATTCTCAGTTCCTTAAAGTGTATACGGCCGGGAAGCAAGAAAACACACATTCAAATGTATTCTCAATACTTCAATTTATTCATAGGTATAAAGATATTATATAGGCATATGTTGAGGGGAGTTTCACCCTCTTAACCAATGAGGATATGAATGACATACACATATAGGATCTTTGGCCAAGAACATGTGTTTATATAAAATGGCCACATGTACAGAAAAACATGGACATATTAGGAATAGACTTTTTTTTTGCTTATCCAAAAAATAATCCAATCCGTGACTCAAAATCTGTAATATGATTCGAACCATGAGTTTTGTGATCCGTTGCAGCACTATCGCTAACTGCCTACACTCTTAAAAATAAAGGTGCTTGTTAATAAAAATAACAATTGGTCCCTCGATATCTCTTTGCCGCCTTGAAGAATTCTCAGTTCCTTAAAGTGTATACGGCCGGGAAGCAAGAAAACACACATTCAAATGTATTCTCAATACTTCAATTTATTCATAGGTATAAAGATATTATATAGGCATATGTTGAGGGGAGTTTCACCCTCTTAACCAATGAGGATATGAATGACATACACATATAGGATCTTTGGCCAAGAACATGTGTTTATATAAAATGGCCACATGTACAGAAAAACATGGACATATTAGGAATAGACTTTTGCGAAGGATGAGGCACTCTCTTCAGAGTTCCTCACGAACTCCTTTACCCTTATAGTCCTAGCATTCATCTCCTTATTTGGGCATTTAAACCAAGAAAAACT